GACAGATAGGGCACCCTGTATACGCAAGTTATACCGCTTCCGCTCTCCGGGTTAAGCAGATGGAAAAACCAACATTCTTCCTTCTTCGGTCACATTACCGGGTGGCTGAACAAAATGGCGGTCTGTTTTACCAGAGTGCGCTGGGTCCGTCCGATGCCTGACTGACACCGTTTTAGTCTTATTCGAAAGAGCAATGTTTTCAGCATATAAAAGTTAAATTAAACCGACAATAAACAAAGGTTTGACTTTTTTATGAATTTTTTTGGAAAACTAGGTGGGTTTGACGGTTGGCCAGGAAGCGAAAATTTGATTTCATCCCTTTTTAAACAAAAATTCGCTACTGTTCAGTAAAGGACATTCATGTAGCTCACGTTACTATTTCGGATAGGGGTTGTTCTAGTTTTTTTGCTGTTGGAAACAGGAAAATTCTAGCAACCGTATTTGGCCAGTTTAGGAAATAACTGATCATGAAAGTCCACACGAATAATTGTCGTGAAATCCACAAGCAGAGTTTTCGAAAGCAAATTTCTGACCAGCGTTTTAGGAGCTTGTATGGTTTAATGTTATTTCTGCAAGGACAATGTGTTAGTTACATATTGTATAAAATCGAAACCGACATCTTTTGCTGCAACCTGTCATTTAGCCGAAAATTTAAATCAAAACTGCTTAATCAAATCAAATAAAACATCGGCATTTTTTGGGAAAGTCAAAAAGTGCGCTGGTGAATAATTCGTCCAGCGCATGCGGCAGGTCCAGAAAATTTTTACTAATGAAAGAAGATGTAGTTTTCTAGACAGAACATTAAAAAATAACAAAAACGTCCGTACGGAAAAGAAATGCCACGATATTCTAAGTTTTGCGAGCTGGCCAGAATATGTTTTTGGCATGACTTTGATTAGAACCATTTAAAACGAGAACGGTTAAATTTTTTTACAAACGTTTTATTGTTTTTAGTAGCCAATAAATTGTCTATTTAACAAGTCTAAGTACGAGTAGTTTACGGGGGAACGCGGTTTGTGAGGAGCAAATTAAAAACGGAGCCCGCCATTTTGTTCAGCCACCCGGTATTTGCGTGTGCTAAGTGCACCGAAATCCGGTCGATACTTGAAGATATTTCTACTCATACACCTGCTATTAGCCATAATTAACAGCATTCAAAATAATTTGTTTTATGTTACAGATGCAGTACGGATATTCTACCAGAACTAACATTAGCACCATTACGTGTAATATGGTTCAAATGAAATAAAGCATGGATACACCAAGAAACTGGAAAAACCGCTGCTTCCTGTGTTCCCTGAACGGATGTTGCGTTTTACCGTTAAATATCTGGTGGGAAGCTCTGAAGTAGACATCTATGAGAGTGGGTTTCTCCTGTATGACACTGCAATAAATCGTGCCCGGTTTCGGATGAGGGCAGCATGGCCGCCAGTCCCCACGGGTCCCCTACCATGTTCCACCCTTGACCCAACTAATAATTACTGAAAAACTGAAGTAAAAGATCGACCGGAATGAGTGACTGCTGTACATTTAATTATGTCACAGAATTATCTATTCTATGTTAACTTTTGTTTACGAAGTTACTGTTCAAGTATGCTGCTGCTTAAGTTTTAGAATCTGCGGAGGCAGGAGGTACGTACTGTAGTTATTCAGTCATACCGTATAAAAACGCCACGCATAAACTTTTTCAAATCAACAACTTAAGGGGACGGCTATGAGACCTTCATTTTTACAATACACAACTCAGGTATGTAAAGTTCGAAGCTAAGTTTTTGAGTCCAATACTTTATTAAGTAATACTCGTACAGCTATAGTACGACAAAGGGCAAAATGATTGTTAATGTCAGTCAGATTGTAGCAATGATTCAGACGTTTGCTCTTTTAGAAACCCAACTGACAAGCTGGTACGTTGAACAACAAATGCGACACACAAAACTCTGGTAGCATACACACCGATAAAACCGAGCGCTGTATGGACATTAACGGGCGTACAGTAAGTCACCTCTTCCGACCTAGGTACCAGTTGCTGGTCGGAATGCTCTCGCTGGATGGCAATACACTAGGCGGCACCAGGGAGCTGTACTGGTGCTTGGCGGATGAGCTACGTTCTGACGGTCGCAGTTTAAGTAGTGCGCGCAGATCCGGCGACGACGTAATGGTCATTTCGGTTATTGGCTGGCTCAGAAGAAACAGTAGGCGATCGTCTTTGAACTGCGGGATTGTATATGCCTGGTGTCCTTCGGCGGTTGAAGGTTCGACTATATATGTCTATAATTATTTCACAATACTGATTTTTCTAGATTTTTGATTTAGACTTTAGAGGATAGGTGGATGTGTACAAGCTGTATTGTTAAGAATCGTAATATTGCCCGCACTTTACCATGTTGCATATGTTTCTTTGGGGATTTCTAACCCGTAACCTTACCTCTTCGCAGTCGCTCTAACCAAGTTCCAAGGTCACACCGGCAGCCACCGATTACGAATATAACAAAAAGCATCTGCAGGTAAAACTTAGGTAGTGATGCGGCCATTTCGGCAAACTGCGAATATGAAGCACACCGGGAACTGAAGGAACACGCAAATCAGTCTTCAAATGCTGAGGCGACCGTGATAAAAACTCTTAAAACTACTAAAACTATCGAACTACAGAATTTTTCTCTCGCCTAAACTGCCATATACTAACCACGAGTACGATTAGATTTGTGCAGTTTTATATTCGCTTCTCATCAAATCCCTCGGGGACAGCAAGCAGAAACTGTCTAAAATATTGCCGTGTTGCATGCGTCTGGTTTGTATTAAAAATTCGCCTATGCCAGGAAAGAAACCACCAGGAACGCAGAATTATAACGTCTGAGAAATTAGGATTTATTAAGGGAATGATTAAAGTGTGCGTGGGGAGTTTTGGCTACAGAATATGTCATCTAAATGTGTAATTCTAATTGCTTGGTATTCTTCGTGGATCGGTGAACTACCGATGCGTCAACTGCACGAAATTCCCGCGATGATAGAAAGATCACGAAATGCCATGCCAGACATTTGCCATGGGAGAATTGATCGCTTTAGGCTTAACAAATTCGACGTCACGCGGCCACTACGATGCATCTCAAAATCACCTGCGACATCAGACGGCAATATACTGTAGATGTTTCAGAAGGCAATATACTGTAGATGTTCAAGTGATTGCGTTAATTATTGATACTAACATCACAGGGCTCACCGACACAAGGTCGAACGCACGAAGTGGACCTTCACGAAGGCGATGGCAAAACAAACACGGGGACACATGAGAAACTTAGACAAATTAAGAAAAACTAAGAAAATTTAGAATTAAAAAGGCCTAATAAATCTAAAAAACCGAAGAAGTCTAAAAAGCATAGAAAACCTAAAAAACGGTTGCTCGACAGTGTGTCGGCTCGTCTTGGTGACGATCAGCGAAATAGCGGGTCACCTTAGGGGCGTTTAATTTCGATCAAATCAAGCCTTAAATGTACGCCTTATGTCTTCATGGTCTTAATGTGTTGTGTCTTAAATGTCGTATGTTTTTAACTTTTAATGGCATCGTCTGCAACTTGGTGCCGCTAATGCTTCACGCTATCCGAATTATAAAATTAATGTACATAAAAAAGTCAGAAGGCATGCACTGGCAAGTCCAAAGTAACTTGCCTAATTACTAGGTACTCACTGTACAATGCTACCATGGTAAATTATTTAAAAGAAAAGTCGCAAAAAGACAGTGTTTCTTGGTAAAATAAGCATAAGTGCTATTAGAGTGCATATAAAATGCATTGCACGGGTTATGCACAGATTTATCGGGATTCGCGGGAAAAGAATAATCGTATCCATATTGTCATGCATCGGTAATTTCATAATTCAACTTCAAGGTGGTAAACTGGCTCACTTCGTTGCCTATCGCTCTGATGGATATGCAATGCGTCAAGTAGGTGCTTGCATTTTAAAAAGAGTGCTATTAAAGTTGTTTAAGTAAATTTGATCTCATGAATTTTGCGAAATTCTTTTGCCAGATACCAACATTGGTAGGTGTGAACCGAACATTCTATATCTATATATATCTAGTGTCTTTCCCCAGTACCATACTATACCATATTAAATAAAAATACATGTGCATGTGCCAAAGCGTCCACACCTCCTGCTGAATTTGTGTGTGTTCTTTTGTTCGAATTTTGCATGCTACCTTGGAGTTGGAGAGGTATGTTAAAAGGATGTACTCCGGTGCTTTTAACTTCAAAATACATAAGTTGCTTTTGAATCAACGTGCAATCATCGCACCGTTCAGACTGTAGAGGTATTTAGTATCTATTTATTCTGTTTTTACAGTACATTGATTTGAAGAGTGTACGATATTCACTAGATTAAAAATTCGGAGCGGCTTTAGGCTGGGCTTATTCCTGCTTTTGTTAATTATCTGTGTTCATTGCCGGACTGCCAGTCAGTGGCCTCACTGTAGTAGTTGCCTGTACATTTTCCCGTTATATACTGGAACCTTTTGTGCAGGAAACGGAGTTCTTTAAAAACATAAAAACGAAGTTACTAGCTAGCAACTTCGTAATTGTGCTTGCAGCTATTGCACAGTCAGTATCTGTGCTTCTAGCAGTAGAACAGTAGATCGATCTGCTGTTCTACAAACTAAAGATATGTAGTACAAACAACATCGTAACTTTCGCTATAGTCCCAAAACCTTGACTTATACAGGCCCTTGATGATCTCGGCGTGAATTATCGTTTTTTCACCAGTCAATATCAGGTTTTTTTCGTTTTTTTATGTATCGTTTTTTTCCCCAGGAATTTATTATCATTACAACGTAAATTTAAATGAAGCCGCGCAGTCAGAATTAAGAAACCTTTGCATTGTCTGACGAACTTTTCCCGTTCTTCTGTTTATTTTGAATACCTGCTCCATGATTTCAAATTACGTATCCACTAGAGTAGAACATGTACAGAGGTACGTGTTATGCTCATTTTGTTGCTTTAATTTGTCGGTAAATGTTTCAACACGTTTTCTGTTTTTTGAAGAATAATACTGAATTCCGATTGTAACATTATTGAAACATTAAAAATTTAACAAATTTAAACAGTGCTGATATAAAAATAGGTAAGACGGTCACTTTCTTCGGCCAAGATACCAAGTACTGGTCACAGCGCCCTCGCCAGACTGCAGGATTCCGGACTGCACCAGAGCACTGTGTTCCTGTCGCGCCGTTGATGGACGCTCCAACGGCTGTAATTTAAGCAACGCGCGCAGATCCGTGTGGGTGGTGGATAGGTCATCCATTGCTGCTGTTTTTGATGTCGAAAGTCGCAGCAGGATGCGATCGACATGGGTGTGTCTGGCTTTCGTGTGATCGAAATGTTCTTCTGTCAGCATTGTACGGGAATAACCTATAAATAAGTTGAAAGAAGCCAGAAAAATTGCCCTTCTCCGCTAGTAACAAGATTGCTAACATTTTATGACACTTACCAGGGCACATAGGGGTCCTCCAAATTCAGAAAAATTTCATATTATGTAAAATGGTAGTATACTATCGTAGTATGGTCAAAAAAATATTTTCATCTGCCATGGTCAAGAGGGCGTGGCCAGACAGCATTTAAAAGTTTGCATATTATCACATACTATGCAATGCAGTGAGTGGAGTTATTCGTAATTAGTTTTATATTAAATTTTTACTGTAGCACCGTGAACTTTGAAACTGTCGAGTGGTGATGTAAACGAAAACCACGTGCGGCGGCTCGTGTCACTGCTGCCTAAATAACATTTTCCAAAATCTGTTATGAAATGCAGTACGAGTACATATCTGCTAATTAGTAAAAGAAGTTTTTTGCACGGTTTACTCGTACATACAATACTAACTGATAAAAAATTTTCGAAAATGTGTACTGGCAGCAATGACACGAGCTGCCGCACGTGGGCATCGTTTACATCACAACTGGACAGCTGCAAAAGTTCACGGTGCTACAGTAAAAATTCAATATAGAACTAAATACGAATAACTCCGCTCACTGCATTGCATAGTATATGTGATAATACGCAAACTTTTAAATGCTGTCTGGCCACGCCCCCTTGACCATGGCAGATGAAAATATTTTTTTAAGCATACTACGATAGTATACTACCATTTTACAAAATAGGAAATTTTTCTGAATTTGGAGGACCCCTATGTGCCCTGGTTAGGTACTGATGGTGAGTACAAGTCATTTAGATGCGCAGTTACTTTGTGCAGTCAACTTTTAAATTCATCAGGTACAGTTGTAGCAGCTACGCCCGATTATAAATACCGTACACGTTGAATACTGTATTAAGCGCAACATGTTATAGGAGCACCGATGAATTGTTATTAAGCAGCGGTCATCAAGATCACAAGAGTTCGGGCGCCGTTTACCATTCTTAAGGTAGTAAGAACACACCGATTTAGTAAGCAGTGATTGATATAATGTAGTTTCGAGTAGGAGTGAGACTTTATAAAAGTATAACGTCGTAATTTTATTACATAATTTATACAAAAATATCAATAGTAAGCTAGGTTGCAACGGGATATCGGTGATGATCAGTTTTTGACCGATTGCCTTATGTCGGTTAAACGCGCCTACCTGCCCGTATTCTGGTCTCTCCATGCAAAAGGTCACATTTTCCCTTGCTCATAGTAAACAAAAAGGCAGATGCCACCAAAACCATAAATCTGAAAACTTTAGCCAGAAACATTGTGATATCCATTACGGTCCTGCAGCTGTCATCGCATTCGGATGCGTAATACTACTGATCCTACCCAAGAAAGCTTACAACGATGATTGTTGCAGCTTGCAAGCAAATCGGTGACCAGTCTTCCACATTCAGCGCAGTAAAACCGTTATATTTAAACGCTACAGCTGCTCAGAAACATAAGAACATTTTATTTGGCTTGACGAGATTCTACCTCTATTGTGCCGCAGGAGAAACCCCGGAATAACTCGCTGATATTTCCATAAGCATCCCTAATTCATATTTTCACCTTCCCACGCTGCTTATGGTTAGGTAGACGACGCAGATGGGAAGTAAATTCTTTATGGATGACGGGAATTGTGAAGTGGTTTGGAAACCAGATATCCGAGTGCGGTCAGGGCCGTCGTGTGCGTGGGTACCCTTCTATACAAACGGGTCAATCGATGGTGTATGTGACAGGCCGTCAGTCCAGCAGCACAGTACGCATCACGAAATTCCCAGGATGTACCGGCTGTCTGCGAAAGGCAATCAGGATTACTGGTTGTCGAAGGGATGATCCAAAAATAAGTGCCACGAAGGTTACAGCACAATGCAAGGAGCGGTCAAAACAGTGATATAATCGTTCTCGGGAAATACAGGAACATAGTGCTGCAGAAGGTCATGATTATCGATTTTGATTTCGTGATTTTCCGTGCTATATTAACAAGGTAGTTAACTGGCTTTTGATAACTATATAATAGCTAAGGACTATATTTATAGTAAGTCCCCGGCCATGCTAATGATGTTGCACAAATATATGTACAGAACGTTTAGTTTAGTGAATGTAAGACTAGTTGAGTTCAAGGTTATCTGTATGCGAAAACCAAGACGTAAGAATATGAAGGACGTAAGCGAAAACGTCAGATAACTGAATACTCCTTATTTTCATGCAAAACGTTATCAATACCTGTACCTTTATGAAGGGAAGTATGGTATGTTATGCCTTACTTCAGTATAGATATTGCGACTTTTTTGGGTTTGTCACTAAAACTGTATTGTCTGGCATTTGGATCATTTCAGGCCATATAAATTACCTAAGTATACCTCAGTCGCAGTTGCTTTTCTTGGGAGGTTTTTCTTGGGCGGGTGGCACTTGGCAGAACAGCCCGTAATCTTGTGAAGTTTGGCCAGCTCGGCCGGTAGTTAACCACCGCATTTCAATGCAGATCTGAGTTTCTGCCACAGCTGGTCGCTAAAATGCTTACCAATTCGCCGCCGATAACCAGACTTGCAAAACGTCGAAGTATAGGCTATAGCAAACCGTTTAAACGCGCATATATATAACAAGAATTGATAAACATAAATGATACTCTGATTGCTAAATGCAAAAGACACAATGTTTTGTTCTAATTAAGTACTTGATAATATTATCGTCTAATATATACATAAATATCGGTATACGGCTTGCAGCAGCTTTCCGTGCAAGAATGGCGAATCGTTAACGCAAACATGTTTACTAAAATATTAATATAAAATATATTTATTAAAATATATTATATTTATGCAGACATGTTTATTAAATGGTGACCACTCCGTACACACCCTTTCACACCCTTTCACTCCGTACACAACCTTTTGCACTCCCTTTCATTCCGTGCACAACCTTTTTGCGCACTACCATTCACTCGGTGTACTACCAAACTTTTATATATATTTATATATAATATACTGAAACGCTTGTAATCTATATTACTACAGAAAAGCAAAACTACAAAAAAATACTACTCGTACTACTTTTCTGCAACATCATGGGACCGTTCCGACGAAGACGTCCTGGTGTATGACAGCGTCAGCAAATAACTCACGTGGCAAGCGAAGATTGAATAAACAAGTGTTACGGAGCAGGTCTTGCGGAGATTAGAGTAAAAAACGTTGCTGTTCAAATAAAAAAGCGGGCGAGATTGCGCGTTTTTTTTTATTCCAGAAATAACTACTGTGAAAAAATTAAAAAAATTAAAAGGTTGTGTACGGAATGAAAGGTAGCGCAAATAGGTCGTGCACGGAATGAAAGGGAGTGCAAAAGGTTGTGTACGGAGTGAAAGGGTGTGAAAGGGTGTGTACGGAGTTTTCACCTTATTAAATACACTTCACGCATTTTACTAATAATGACAATTGAAAACTCCTTTAGGGTCTACGCTCACTGCCATAAGTTATCGTTAATATTAAACGTTAAGGAATTACATATGGGACAGAAGCTCATGCATGCAGTTGTGCACAATCCCCATACGCGCCATGTGGTAGTACAAGAGTTTGTTCAAGTTGCAAGATTTATACACATCTTTAGCCGAAACCTCCATTTACCAAAATTTGTTAATGGCTTATCTTTGGATTTTGCCGTAAACAGAATCTATGATATCTATGTATCACAGGCTTATGGATAACCAATGCTGCACCATGCGGGTCGTTGGACCGTGTGTGTCCATGTGCCATGTATGTTTCCGGGTGGCAGTCCCAGTTTTCTTCGAATATCCATGTTGTTTGCAGCACATCCAAGCCGTAAAATGTGCAGTGATGACAGTTGGATGATTAATCGTCTATTGCCATTGTTAACCGTCTGATAACAGCCTGATATCGTAGCAGTCAGAGCGGTGCCGACATAATCAAATCACAATAAATAAAAAGTCTATGTTAAACGTACAGTACTATCGTATCTTTTCCGGGTAATTATAGAAACCCCTGCACTTTGGTAAGAGGTTTTATTGACTCTGTACTTTGTTACGTCAAACGTTTTCGATTGCGATTTACCTGACAAATGTTGTGCAGCCTCGTATCACTCGACACATGTAATTCACATGTTTTGGAATTCTTCTTACAGTTTTGGAAGAGGAATTTGTAGAAGGTCTGATTAACGATCGATCATTGCGCTGTTACCGTCCATATATCGATAATTAAGTACAGAAACGTACTGCATCGCGCAACAGGAATCTCTGGCTTTTGGGATGTGAAAAATTACATGCATGGCCTGTGTTTGTTGATTAAGCCTCCATTGGCGTTGAACCCGCTTCTACCGGTCCTTCGGACATCTTACCTTTTGAGGAAGTGATTACGCCGCGGATTTTATATGGAGACCAGTACCGTTGGCATATTTTTCGGCGTTTGGGCAGCAGGTTATACAGCTGCTACCTTTGATACTAGCTTGTCATTTAATTAATCACTGCATAAACATATGAAATGCATACGTACACATTCAGGTATGATATTTCATGTTAATGCACATCTGTAAAAACATCATTTCAGTTACCGTATTGATTGTGTTGGGATGCAAACTATTCGCACGCTATTGCTACAGCCGATGGGGTGTCCGTGCAAATGGCCATCCGGAAGCGGGCGCAACAACGGTGAGTTCACGACCTATAATATCCTACTCTAGAGGAGGGCAGAAACTACAACGTAATTCAAGAAGACAATTCAGATTATTCTGCGACTACGCCGGTGTACGTATGTGTATAATTTGTATATTTGCGGAGTCGATTTTAATAGCTTTGCTGCTCATAGGTACAGTTCAACTTTCCATATATATAGAAGATGAATAATTTATTAATTTCGTATTCCCAAAACCCATAAAGTATATCTTCAGAATAATATTACCATCGTAATCAACGGCGTACCCAACGACACCGGTTCTACCGGTAATTCCGGTCTCCACTCTCCGGAAGTAACGCGGAGAATGCGTTTGTTGAACGCCATGCACCATCGTCTCCACCGGCAGCGCTCGCAGTCTCTCTCCGCCGTTGACACCGTCCGGCTTCCGCCCGGAGCGACGGCAGGCCAGTCTAGCCATAACAGAAACCGCCGCCGCTGGGGCGAGGCGCGTCAGATCAACGAACTGCCACCCACGTACCAATTGGCTGTGTCACATCCGTCCATCTATCGGCCTCGCAAATCCGTGCCGTGTATCTTTGAGCGACAGGAAACCATCCCGCCGCCTCCGCATTACGATGATTTACAAATTGACACATCGTTTTCTGTTGATCTCCGGGTATCCGTTGATCAGCTGGATAGCGGCGGGGCGGCTCTTTCGCATAATTTGTCCGTATCCGCGCCAAACCTTTTCGAATCGCCGGCCACTTAATTATGCATGCTTATCAATGCGTATTGTATTTAATGTTATGTATGATATTATTTATTACGTCAATAAATGATTCTTGTATCTTTTATTGTCGTTATCTGTCACAGACTCTCAGCGGCTATACTATCGAGTTACTTGCACGCAACAGCTGCATGATATTATAAGTAATAAAAATGATTTGGTGGATGTTTATTGTTCCGAACAAATTAAACTGATGTTTTTCTAAAAGAAGCAGGCACTGGGTTGCAGTAAATAGAAAAAAGACTCATCTTGCAGTAAATAAAGAATAAACAGGAAGCTTCGGATAGCGGAAATACCACAAGCTTACAATCTCTTTTACTTTTTTTTTCAAAGGAATTTAAAACGTTTTGAACAAGGTACGTTAAAAAAAACAAAAATGTACCCAGTATTTGAAGCAGTTGTATGTGTTACTGTCAATGCAGCCGGAGATAAACTTTAGTGAAAATTTTGCAGTCAAGTCCACACATCACAAAGTATGGCACTACAAATACGAGTACAATATATATAACAATAAGCAGCCGACTGTGCTGTACTGCTTTTGAATGACCACAATAAACGAAGAAATGTGCTGGCTGCTGACGGTTTGGGGCTTTCTGCTTTAAACAGGAAATTTGAGAGGTTCAATTTGGGAGGTTCAGTACTCAGTACTGCTAGAAATGATTCGTCACATACATCGCTTTGGAGAATAACAATCGTATCGATTCGAGCGTTGTTGGTTCAGTGGTAGAATGCTCGCCTGCCACGCGGGCGACCCGGGTTCGATTCCCGGACAACGCATTTTTTGTTTTCGTGATGTGGTAATTTGGGTTGGAATTTAGAAAAAGAATTGTTATTAACTGCTAACAGAAGGCCATCGAAATTAGTTTACTTTTTTTCAACAATGCATCATCGTTTAACTTCAGGAAATTATATTTCTGTATTACCTATTAAGTAAATACAGTACCGTAGTTTTACAATACTTTGCCGTAGTTTTACAAATAAATTACCTGGTATCGCGTTAATTCGTCCGCCTGTGGTTGTAATCGCGTTAATTCGTCCGCCTGTGGTTGCAGAATTACAGTTGACATAACCATACAGAGAAAATTAGCTGACAGTCAGACATATGCTCGCTTAATCACAGCAGTAATGGAGTGTGAAAACAGGAGATTAAGGATATCATCTGCTGACTGAACAATAAAGGCGTTTGTTAATGTTTTCAGCATATAGACTTACAAAAATAAACAGTTTCGCACCAGCTGATTTTAGTCTTGGCGACCGAGCGGAACTTAAGGATATGTGGAATACCATGGATGGCTCGGTACCCATGCTGCATTAAGCGTCACACGGTAAAACAACATAAATCTAAAACAGCTTCCTGTATGTTGATAAAGGGTAAAAAGAGTACACTGTGCTGTATAAAGCCATTTAGTTTAAACACATATCTATACTTTATAGTGAACAGTAAGCACGAGTAAATCGCATTCAGTTTTAATCACTTCGTTAATATTGCAGATTTGCACGTGTGATTTTATATTTTACATGCTTCTTAAACTTTACGTCAATTGCTACCCGTAGGCCCTACCCTAAGGAATGGGAGCCGAAAGACATTCTTTAGTAAAGTGAAATGCTATTTTGGGAAATCTTAAATCACCGGTAAATCGTCGTTTTAACTGCAGACGGTTCTGGGCTCGGAAAACCGAGCGGATTTCACTACATTGGAACTGGAACTGACAAGTGCCAGATTTTCCGAGGATAATCCACAAGAAATCCGTAGAAAGATCGAACCATGGTGACTGCATTAAATCTTATTATCCTTATCATTTTGTACGGATATTGGGACATATCGTTTATGGTTATTTCTACATATATTTTAAAATTTCAGCTGTTTTAAAACGCTGCTTTGAAATATTGTACAGGTGTGTACCGATATCCCTTGTCGCTATTCTTATAATACTAATAATATCATTGCCATTGGCCACGGACAAAAAAGAACGCAACGCCTACAAATACATCGCGGAACCAATTTGTAACGAAACATGCCGGTATTTTCCGAACTTGAAACTAAATTTCTAATTAAATTTAGGCTAACTGTTTTATTATAACTTATGTACAAAGTGTGAAATTTTTAGTCCATATTTAGTGTTACAACCACAAGAACCGAATTTGGTGGAACTCATTTATTTGGCCAATACTTCCACTGAAATCTTGGTGCCATCGTTGTCGTTGTTAAAGAAATGGTTAGATCTTGATCTCACGGTATCTGCTGACAGTATTATCGCACGCATTATGCACCTTGTCAAACATGCCGGCAACTCGCTGCATTCTTTATCCATAAATATATTAACTAATGATGTTCCAACAAACGTCACGGCCACAGATGGCTGGACCAGGTACGAAACTTCCGGCCAAATAACATTTGCATCCGTACATCACGTCATAAGGATGAAAAGCATTGCCTTGCCCATTGTAACGCCGGTCTGGATAATCGACAAACGGCATTTCTACCTGAGTTTATCGTCCAGCGGACTACGCGGTGAAAACTGCCCGTGTATTGGCGGGAAGCTTGCTCGAATCTTTAATTCGTTCTGGCATGCAACGGTATACGGTCGTGGAACGGGATCGGAGATCAGTCAGAGCAGCATAACCTTTGAATCGAAATGTTTCAGTGGGCCAGAGACAGGGCTGCTATCCGTATGTACATTATTGCGCTGCGGAATCGCACTGAAAGGCCACTGGAATATTAATTTTATATTATAGGTATCGCCGGAATTCTTAGCGGAGCGTGTCGTACTGCCTTCAAGTCTGCTAAGGCTGATTAAAGTGCTGGAAAATGCATCAGAGTTTCTGTTGATGATCGTGCCCGGATACTCTCCAACTGCATCAAAATCTGCCAACGACACGCACCGGTAAATAATGACGTTAGTGTGTTTCGCACATCCACATACGGGAACGTCTGCCGTCATTTCCCTGACCAGCTGGACAGCAGCTTAAGTAATTAATAATGCGTATGTTGTTAATAACGCGCATGTTCGAAAACTTCACAGTTCAATTTTACGGTGCAACGATAGATCCTAAAGTTTACTTGGAAAGAAACTAGCGGTGTACTTGTATATGCACCATTTATTATACAGGAAATATTGGCCATTCGTGGACAATGCCATCCGCTCCACACTGCATGATCGCAGGTACGGGAAATGTTTTGTACTATACCATTGCATGCACGATTTACACTTAATCCACTGACCGTCATTAGTTATCGTTGACAATCGCTATATATTAAGTTTTTGAGCGGCTTTTTCTGGCTTTCTTTCTGCTTTTATTCATTTACCGTAGTCATGAGCGTTACTTTTTCTGGTTTCTTCAGGTTGTCCATAAAGATGCTGGTGCTGTCGCCCAACCCAGCAGTTGATCAGCCGTATCTGCGATCACTAGCTGCTCTTGGTGACCTAAACGGACAATCCATAAGAATTGTTAGTGCTCTTACGAATAACCACTGTTGTTTCTATTCACATCACATATATCAGGCGTATCATTTACTGCAGAAAATTAATAAATTGGAAGAACGTGCGAAATCACCACAAGTGTTCCCTGTTGTCATCACAGCACACGCTATCAGTTTAGGTACACAAAATTATTAATGTATCTTTCTCTACATGCGTGTACGATGTAGCGGTGATAACTGGCTTTCTTCGTGATTCTAACAATAAATGCTTGCATTAATCGCTGTTGTAGGCATGATCCACATTGCCGGCAATTCTTATTTCCGTTCCTTGGGTATCAGCATTACGTTGTCACGTACTCGTAATATTACGCTGTCGAATGAGCGGTGTTTCGGCGCGCAGCATGACTACCTGCGGGCCATGTCCGTACATTTGGATAACGATTTCATAGAAGATGTCTGGCGCACAGGAATGGACACCTTTCTAACAATGTGGGAGGATGCATCCGCCGAGAATGTCTTATAATGATACTAGAAAATTTACTACTGGGATTTCGGTTTCGTCTCCATATTATATGATTGTTTGAGTTCTATCGAGACGCCTAAAATAAGTTGTTTTTCGGATGGTAGCTTGATCTGGTTCTAAGAACATGCTGAAATTTTACAAATTATTCTAACACATTAGCCGCACGTGTATGTATAATTCTTCTGGGTTATTTTGTAGACAAGTTATACGGAAAGCAGATTAACAAATGCAAAAGGTCACCCACTAAGCTACCACATAAAACCCTTCGAATTCATAAAGCATTGATTGCATTTGCAACATTGTCGGCCGCGTACGTGCACGTACAGCCATGTGTGTGAAAGGGAAATTAGCAATTTGCTGGGGCCTTTTTTCAATCATGCCCTCGTCGTTACGTGCAGCGGCTGCGCTGTCCATATAGACACAGGCTTGGCCAAATAGAATACAGCATATGCGGAAGCAAGGGGTCTGGCTTGCAATCGATTGCCGATTTGGCTTTGATATGCAACTGCCCGCGCTTTGCATCCTCAGGATTCTGCGCCACGTAATCACGGGACGCCAACCGGAACACGGTTACGCATACACACAAAAGCAATGCACCGAATTAATCCTCCCAATCAGCCGGATCACACACGCTGCACTGACATGTACGACCAATGCATCCAGGCGGCAGCTTAGCCGCGTATCCTTTTATTTTGCCCACTTTTTTGCACTCTTTTCCTGCTCTTGGACTAGCACATTTTTGAATAAACAAATGCACCTTCAAAAATAAGTGCTACAAAGTTTTTTATTAAATTTTATGAAAAAATATTAAACGTTGCAGTTTTCCTAAATAATAAAAACCTTGCTTGTGTTCTTATTGTAAGAATAATGTTTTGCATATTTGCTTAAGCCTCCAAACTAACCATAAGTAAATACGCATTATCATTTCGCGTAGCTTTAGTATTTTTAAAAACCATGTTGCAATTTAAGAACCAACAAAATAAATTTTTTTACTAGATAGGCACACGATAGCGGTAAGCTTGCATATAACATATACAGATTTGTCTTCACCAAAAAGAACTTATCACATGTATAATAAATTTTCAAACTAGTGAGATTTAATGTTATAAAAAGTGTTTTGCTTCCTGAATATTTTTACAAGTAGTTTCTTCCCGTCCTGCGATCATATTAGCCGGTCGTTAGTTACAAGGCAACCCTAAAAGCAGCTCCCTATCTGTAACACTGTAACTGCCACAGTCACTCGGTGTTCTTCGTACAGGGCCTGATCCTACTCTATCCCTGACTGCGCGCCAGTGCGTCGCGCTCATACGGATCGCCAATCGTCCGTGTCAGATCCCAGTGCGCCGGCTCCAGTGGAATACTGCTGCAGCGGAACACCGGTGCAGCGTTTGCGCAAGCGTGCCAGCCGGGCGTATATATTTTTCTCCCGCCATCCTGCTGCGTGTCAGCGGATCACTTTCAATAACATTTTATTTTGCCGGTTGAATGTGTATACGCCTTCGTGTACATGCGCGTCGCGATCTCGGCGATCCATCGCCCACGCTGCTGTATCATTCCATGTGTTGATGATGATCCCTTTTTCCACAAGAAAATTGCTTACTAATTGATCAACCGGCGAATTGTTATTTGGCGCAATAAAGTGCAATTTATAAATATACGCGCGCACACTATTGTGCATGATTATAAAGCGATGTACAAATACGCTGCACGCAAACTAGGTTAAAAGCGCAAGATCGTTTGTCTTTTGCTAACCGACTGCGACATCTCAACGGCCCAAGGTCGTTCCGGTCAATTTGCCTGACCAGAAATGTCCCGGAACTGCCATCTCTCATCCATCTTATCCCGGCATCCTCTGGTTCCCAATTCCATCACCCTCCTGCAAAATCTCCGCTTCCGGTCAAAGTCTGTCATCATCCATTAGAGACAACAACTAACTGCAATAGTTGTCACCACAATGGGCAACTGTAATTCCTGTTTTGTAATCATGTCGCTCTTGTCGTCGGCGGCCACCTGTGCCGGGTTTTTCTTACCGTACTGGATCAAGGGTCAACTGAAGCAGCAGCCGACGGTGGTGGCCACGTTCTTCGGGACGTTTCGTCGTTGTGCCTTCCCGCAGATCAGCGCTGACCAGACGGAGATTGTCATTGTCAATGAGTGTGGACGGTACAGTTCGTTTATGGATATTCCCTCGGTCTACTGGCAGCTGACCACGCTGGTCGTGGGCGCGGGCTCCAGTTTGACGCTCTTTTCGGCGGTTATTTCTTTTCTGGCTTGTTGGGTCAATGAGATGTGGAACAAGCTGTTTATTAAAGTCTTGGGAATTTTGCATTTAGCTGCAGGTAAACATTGTGTGCATTTCTTCTAGAATTTGTGCAATTCATTATCTCTGCGAACAGACTACAATGCACCTGCAATAGCTGAATTGTATTGACGCTTCACCTTAAATAGAAATGTTCAAGAATTTTTATCCAGAAGTTTATGGAGCACTTTTTTGTAACAGTTCTGCAGGTCTACCGAATATCATTTTACAGCATGATCATGAGCCAAGAACTTAATTATTTTGTAATGTGGTAGTTCAGCGAAAATTATTCGAAAAGAGCAATCTTAAACGACAGGCGAAGGTGATTTTTGTATGTTACGGGAGTTTGATATTTAGCGTAGGACGCTGGATAAGTCGGACAAGATATTATGGTGCTATACAATTTATTCGTTCTTCCATAAAACGGCAAATTATTCGAGTGTCCTTCTGTCAAAAGCCATGGATCTATGAATACACCCTGATTTGTAAAACTGTGTCAAGAGCTGTTGGACATATTAACAAAATAAATATGAATGATAGTGAAAAAGGGAAAAAATGATCAGAATAACAAGAGCGTGAAAAAGCCTGGTGAATGGTCTGCCTAACAGGAAGTTGTCCAGCCAGCAGCAGATAATAAAGGCAGTCGGCGCTATTAAAATCCCTTCCCCAGCCGTACAATGACGGCCATTCTGTCAGGAAAAATAAATCCAATAATCAATAGTTATTTGGCTTTTAATACCGGTACCGGCACAGTAGGAGCACAGGGATTTTCAGGCAGAATGGATACACATAAGCCAAATCGCCCGAAACGGAAGGGTATAAGACAAATATACATTATTTATATTTTTATAATTATTGATATTCGATCAGCTGGCGGCTAACCAAATATATTTTGCATAAAATAAAAACATTTTTAAGGAAGAAAATTAAATTAACCGATAGAAAAGTACCATACATGAACGCTTTGCTGAAAGGTGCAATCTTAATACAGTGGTAAGATAAAAAAATAAAAGATCAAACAATAACTGAAAAAGATAAATGAAAAAATAAGTTGCATAGAATTAAATGTTTGGACCGAGAAACCATATCGGAAGCGGAAGGAATCCATTTGGTAAATGGTTATCTAACGGTTGGTGGCTGGCTTGTGTTTTGTAGGTCTGCTGATTACGAGCGGCCTGTGCATATATCCGCTCGGCTGGGATCATCGTGAAGTGCGGGATGCCTGCGGCCAGTCGGATAAATACCAATTAGGTTGGTTTAATTGAACTCACAGTCGGAAGTTGTGTGTATGTGGCTTTCGATCACAGTGCAGTGGTTTGTTGAGAGAGCCTGTTGGCTGGGTGAGAAGACAAATACTCCATCCAAAGGGAGTCCACTTGATCGCTAATCAGCCGCCGCTATAATCAACAACCACGATGCCGGCTACCGAATTCGCCGGCAGACCCCGCCCACCAAATTTCCCTTAATGGTCTCTGTAATTATTGACTACGAACAGCGGAGTATGTATAACAAAAAAAGAAAGAGGATATCCTATTACATATGTGGGTACATTTGTTGAGTATGCTATTAGTTTGCCGGTTACTCTTTTTAAATTTTTCGATAATCATTGTTTTCTTTTTGGAAAGTTAATATATTTTACCTTAAGATGTAATTTTCGTTAATTTTTTCGGTTTTGAAGCTTTTGTTGTTTTCCCTTAAGGGGGTACTTATTACAGCGATGTCATAATGATTGTTTTGAAAATGTTTACATTGGTAAAAGTATACAGCTGGCCATGCTTCTTGGCCGATTGTCAGTCGACAACTCTTAACCTGCTCAATAGCCCATTATTATTGCAAGCAATTTGAAAATGTAATCGGAATATTCGATCGTGATTTGCGCAGTATGGAGCTAATCGATAAATCGCTCAAAGGATCCACTGATTATTGCCAGTATTAATCGCCAGTCAATTGCAAGCTGTGCGTGTTCTCTTCCAGGATGCAACTGCAGCTGGCCTTCGTTTTTTCGTTGGTCCGTATACATAAGCGACTTTTTTGGAAAGCCTAAAGTACATTATAAAGCACCACAGTTTTTGTCTTCTTTGATCTGTAAAAAAACATAACAGGCATACACGCACTGATATCTGTACTACGAAGTATGCATATGTACAGAGGTATGTGCAAAATTTCTGGGTGGGTTTTTCAATTAAGTTCTAGATCTAGATGTAAGACCACAAAAAGCACGTGCGTTTTTCTAATGTAAATTATTATAAGCCAGCAAGAAACATTAATGTGCATATTTACCACTTCACCATAAAATTAGTCACAGTATCACATTCCAATACTTTCTCGATAGCAAACCCATTTAAGATTTGAAATTGCGTCGTCAACAAGTGAACAGAAAGAGTTGGGCTGTCAAATACAAACTTATTTTATTTATTTACGGTTAGTTCAGGGAAACTTTATTTGATATATTAATTTGAAACATTCTGGTGACCAAACAAATATGTGCACGTGTAAGCATTGTGCCTTTTTCTGCAGGATCCTGCCGGATATTTTGGTGTTATTTTATACTGATCGCCACCGGAAGTGCGGAGTTTTTTCTCTTCATTGCCTCATTACGAATGTCTCCCTCCATAGCTGCACAGCGTCCTGTACCGGTGGCCGCCAAGGATCCCTACACGGACTACGCCTGTGTTCAAGATGTCTAAGGGGATTTTGGCGGCGTATGCGCATACGCGGCAAGTGGGGATCGGCGCGCCATTACATTAAATTATTCCTCGTCCACCGTATCGACACTCTGTTTTTTGCCCCTCTCCCCGGCTGGCGTGTACACGGAGCATAGCGCGCCCTAATGATTGGCGTTTTAACAGCAATTGATGGCTTTCTTAATCGTCCCACTTGGGATGTATAGGGGATTTTTTCCCCTCTACTTTCACGTCATTTCCAATGAGCCACGGTGGTATTGATTTTTTTCTAAACCCCTGTTGCAGTACTTATATGCTGTTCATCAATCTTGCCATATGGAAGGCTTTCTTATGAGTCAATGACGCGCTTGTCGTACGAGTGCAATGTCACGCGAATGTAACGTGCTGTACGAGTGCGAAGAATGATTGACATTAAAACTGCCCATCTGTTTGCGTGAAATTATTACGCGGATAGTAATAATTATTATTATTTATTAGCAACAACAATACGGCGTTCATTGAATGGAGAAATGAAGACGATGCACGAGGTGACCAATTGATGCAACTGACAAAACACACGCTGTGATCAGGTTGTTCTACTTTCTTGCCGGCAAATGACACATTTGGATACATCGAGATTCTGCACATGTAGTAAAGTGTATCCGCATTCAATCTCACTTTATCGCGTAAATTCCTAACTAAATCCAAGAAATCCACGAAAATGATAAAATTGTTAGTAGTTTGTAGCGTTGTGTTGTCCACTGGGTACGCGGCAACTCCAAATGCGGATGACAAATATCAGAAATGGGCCGACCCCGGCCGAGTGCTATACCAAACCGCGACGGACTTCGGTAAACAATGTACGGTAGTTATATGTGATCTGGCAACGAGAACTATGCTTTTTTCCCGCAGATCCCGGCGATATGCAAGTGCTTCTAAGTGCCATGCAGCAGGTGTCCCTTGACTCGGGCATGTGTATCAAATTCCAGCGCTACGATAATCGAGCGGATGCGGGAAAGGATTATATCTATATCTCTAATAAACTGAGTGGAGGCAAGGCAATGTCGACATGTTACACTTTCCCGGGACGCAGCGTGGAGCAACAAGGACGAGGACAGTACATGGTCCTGTTTAGCAGTCGTACAGCGCCGGGCGCTGCCAGTCAAACTGCCACTGTTCCAGGTACGACACATTACTGCTGCGTACTTTAATATGTATATCTGTCCGACTGCGTAAATCTCCGAGGGAGACAAATACATTTTGAATATTTAGTACCTGTTGAAAAGATGCCAACGAAAACGCTATCAGCAGTGCGTACACGGATACCCGCCAGTACCTCTGTCAAACACGAGCGCAAATAATGCTTACAGCACCGCTGCTTCTTGCAGTAGCAATAATGAGTATTGACTAATTAACAATAACAGACGCAACTCCTTGATGTACGCTTAGGTGCGTGCCTGGACACGGTTCGAGATGCCATGAAGTACCTTTTCCAAGCGCTGGGATTCCGCAGCGAATACGGCCGTACCGATCGCGTCAACTACCTGGACTTCCTAGCCGCTGACCCTAACAGCCTAGTGGCCAAATCCATGGCAGAATGGACGCCCTTCAAGATTTACCAGCCGGGCGAGGCCAGCTTTTACAATCTCTTCGATCCCTTGTCCATCACCATGGTCGACGGGAAAAAGTGGGCCAAGAATCCTATGAACCCGGTGTTTACGCCCAAATCTAACGTGTGGATCGGCGGGAAACCGAATCTAAGTCAGCAGGATTGCCAGGCATTGGCTATGTATGGATGCGATACAATTAAGTGCCAGAACCGTAAGGCAGACATGGAGATCCCTAGTGTGACCTTTCGGTAAGGCTATGGATTGTTTGTTTGTCGGTTTCAGCGTACAGTCTGCTGGGAGGACAGGGAATTCTAGTGACGCCGCTGAGCACTCCCATGGATGCCAATGGTGTTTGTGCAACCGGACAGCAAATACTTCTTGGGTCTGTTATGGTATGTACCTAAACCGCACGAAACCAGTAAGGTTTAAGTTTCAATTACGCACGCTGTGCTCAGATATGTACTCTGTAGATACGTAGTTACGTAAACTGCAAAATTGCAAAACAGTATGAACTTTATGAAACTGCAAAAAATTTTATCGATAGAAAACATGCGCGAACTTGCGTAAATTAACGCAAATTCGCAAACTTCTACGTTATATTGCATATCTTAACAATAATATTGTACACTGCAAGCACAATCGCGGCCATTCGATCTTAAAGCAGCCGTGGAAAAGAAAAGGTTATTTATTCTACAGTAAGAAACTTACTTCCAGGCGAGTGGCTTGACCGTCCCCAAAGGGCCCCAAGCCGGAATCCCCTTTAACCCGCAACAATCCGCCGTCAACCAATCCATTTCCGGTTCCGGCATCGTCCAGGGCGCGTTCATTTCCGGTGAACCGTCCATTCCGTCGGGCCCGGCCCTACCCGGACCGATGATGATGTCGTTGCCAGTGCACGAGCGGGCCGGTCTCAATAGTCCTTACGCGTTTTCCGTTGCCGGTTCCAACCCGTACAACTTCCAGATTATCCCCGACCCGGTGGATCCGTCCAAGGCCAATATCATTATCAACAGCGCCGCGCGCAGCTTCACTAACGCCCAAATCACTGTCCAAGCGGCCAATATCAATGCACCGCAGCAAACACCGCAGGTGGGGCAAGCGCTGGTGTCGATTAATTTGAACTGCGGACCACTGTTCATGAGCTATCCGCCGGGGTCATCGAGTGCTGCATCCAGGTTAAATTTTCCTAGTACACCCATCAGGATTGTGTGTGATGGAAATATGCTACAAACGCCCATGATCATCGGAACTTTCACCGTACGTAAAATTTAAAAAAGTGCTTATCTAACGACATTCTGTTTTTATTATTTTTAAAAATTAGTTCACGTAATTAATATGCATAGGAAATAAGACAACTTATGCGTGAAATCTTGAACCTTGTCATATAATATAAAATTTTCATAATTATAATATATTATGCTAAAAAATCGTATTTCTACATGTGCTAATGTCATCCTTCTTTAATTCACATGCAGGCTCAAGATCCTGACAGCGACACTGGAGTCACTTACTACATAAGCATGTCAAACAAATTCCAAATTTCTTCAGTCGGTGTTCTGGTGTTGGTGGAGGCGCCGGCATCCGGCCTGGGTTTGATTCCGGTGAACATCAACGCTATGGACGCTAATGGTGCTGTGACAACGCTGCATCTTTCCATACAATTCAGTTGTGCATGACATGATAAATAAAGTAAATATCAACTGTTCCGCATAATTATTTTTGATTGATTGCGCGGTTGAAAAGAGGGTTTTATCACAATATAATTAAATACGAATAAAGTCAGAATGTATAATATGTCTCCACTGAAACGCCTACCCAGAATTATGAAAATGCATGCACCTGGAATATTAATACAATTTAAAAATGAATGTGCTCGAGACTTGCATATGTATGTAGATAGCTGTTAAGTTCTTGCAAGAACTTGCAAGAACTTACTATAGGTCTCACACTATAGTAAGTACTTGGTTCTTGTTATAGAACTCGCATCAACCAAATATTGTATGCATGCTACAACATGAGTAATACTGTACAATGTACATACTGCACTGTACGTATAATATATTTATTATCTATATATTTAAAAGTGTATATAAATATATTTAATATATTTAAAAGTGACATAAACACAATCGCGGCGGTTTAAATGGTATGGCTAACATTTAAAAATCACCCACTGGTTACTGTGGTATGTAAGTACGTTTAGTTTTAATTAATTTTTATACTACTCTGTGCAAACGACTGATTAACAACAGCATTATTAATAAAAAATGCTACCGTACGAGTACTATAAGTGCGATGTAAAAGGAGCTTTGTCGATCAGGGACTTCTCCATTCTGGGCCGTCACTTTTCTCCGGCACCGTCCCCCTGGCTCGCTGCCAACCGCCTTCATTCATCCGTTCGCTCCGATCGTCGCAGCAGAATCAGATTATCACGTTTCGACCGCTCCCTCATGGGTTCGCTGCGCATGTATTTACGGCTGTATTTTAAATCCCGGCGTAACATGACGTAATCTCGCCGTACTCCTCTCAGTCCTCTGCCATTCAAAAATAGCGGGCCAAAAAATTTGGAGCGTTCGTTAGAAGAACACAGGCGGCGCTTCGACTCTTCGCCTTACTGATGCAATGGTAAAAGTTATGCAGCGCCGTCTATCATCTGCCGCGCGAGTGGCCCAAAGTTGCCGCATCTCCTTTCGGCTGTTTATGACCGCTGTTCAGAGTTGTAAGTTTGCTTCCACACGCTTCTCGATTTCCTTTAATACGACCAGCAATTTGAAGTAAAAACAGAAAAACTAAATTTTTGCAAAATTATTAGTTATATGTAATATGATGATCATTAATTGATCTTATTTCAGTTGAATTGTCTCTTGATGTGCTCGTTGCTTCCAAACTGAAACTCTCTATTTCTACTATAATTTTGGCAAATCTGCCAATTTATTCACGACCAACTGGCTGGTGGAAAGATCTACTTATCTGAGTTTGAGATCCCTGTGCTGAAGCTACGGACCTGCTAAGGTGTAAAACCTGTTGCAGCACGCTCTTTGTGAGTCTTGACACTCGTCTACTCACTGGCGTTTTTCGACATGTCTGCCTTGCCAGCTGTTGTTAATCCGGATACCTCGTCCACAGAATCTGTCTTTGAATATTCTGAACCTGCAGCGTGTTTGCCTAAGATCCCGCGTGCTGGCAGTCCACAATGGGAGGAGTCCTCGTTGACAGCCAAGGACGACCCAGGCGTGGCTGAGTCTGTATTTCTTCGGGATTTCGTTTACAAGGTGAGTTATCTTCCCCATGTTCTGCGCCACGTATGTCTGGAATAATTTTTATTACTATTACAAAACCATCCGGTATGGTTCAGTTTCGTGATCAGGAATTTCGGACTAATCCACAGACACAGAATAGGAACTGCTTGCACCAGCTTGCTAGTTTATAACTAAACAGAAACTTGAAAGTGACTGCTAGGTGGGCAGTCCAGTAGCCGATTCTTTTTCTTAGGACTGTGTGAAAAATTTTGGAAGTATAATGGAGATTTGTGTACGAATCGTTTCAGGAAATACTACTGTAATAGCTCCCAGTTTTCTAAGTAGCATGCTAACTGTGCTTGATAGATTATTAACTGATGTATTGAGAATTTCTGAGAAGATTGAGATTTGAGACAGACTCTGTAGCAGATAGTTTTTAAAAAAAAAGAGGTAATAAAAATGGATTTGTATTGACTGCGCACATTAAACCATTGTAAACATTTGGGAATGCTGCTTTGAAATCGATAGCCATCAATGTTGACACTTGACACTGGCATTTACGTTAGAGAAATTCAGTTTACTGGAAGGTGTGTCCGTATTATTCATCTGTTTGGATAATCTTCCCCCTAGCATAGCGGTTTGTTTTAACTTCTGCACAAGTGCCGTTTGTGTTTCTTTCGACTTAATATTTTTGTAAGCGTGTTTTATGATGGTGACATAGCCAGACATATCTCCTGTTTTTTTCGAACAGATTTTGAGAATGTATGACGCAGCTCCGGTTTTCTTTGTTTGAGAGTTTCTTTGATGCTTTACAGCATTATCCTGTGGGAGAGGAGGCTAAGATGACGAAGAATCAGCGTCGTGCGAAGCTGAAGAAGCATGGGACGCTACAAAAGTTCTTAACCACGGTGCATTCGTCGGCGATGAAAACCCAGTTTGCGCAACTGCCGTTCCATAGTTTAAGCGTTTCCAAACGTTTCAAAGGTACACTTTCAGCTGCCATAGAAGTTTTGAAGTTAAACTGTTTTACTTTTTCACAGAAAACATTACGCGAACATGTTGATATATATTTATCTGAATATTTTTACATTTGCATTGTAAACTTAGTTGTTTTAATAAAGCTGCGCTTTTGTGAGTTCACAAGCATCATTAATCACTACGAGTAGTAGTTCACTTTTTTTGGTTAATAAATTTATACAAGCGCGGAAACTTGAGTGTCTTGTAACCGAATTTTTGGTGTGGTTTATCGAATGTCTTGTGCGATTATTGATTCTGCCGTTTTTGTTACTCGATTTTAAGGAATTCTGGACCACAGTGGACACGAAAATCACAACGTTGGGTATTTGTTTAACGAGTTTGACATTCTTGAACGGATTGGTTTCGGTGATTTCGCTGAGGTGAGGCGTTCGCTGTGTGTCAAGTTAGTAGAGTACACGTGTCTTGATTTCGGTGTTTCGATTTTTGTAGGTCTTTAAAGCCAGATGGAAGCTGAACGGACGGTTGTACGCAATTAAACGGTCAATTTCTCGTTTTGCTAGTTGCGCTACAGAGGTGGGTGCTATGTGACAGTGATATTCTGAGATTCTCGCTTTCGCAACGACATGTACATAGGTACATAGTTGTGTTGTACAAAATACTATAACACTAAGATTTTCGTAAGTGCGTAAAATGTCTATAAATGAAAAATTTGATCGTGCGACAGAGTCTTGTATTTTCGTTGGTTTTAAGTGATTGATAACATTAATCGAAGGGTTTTGAAGTTTGATACTGATGGCAGAGTTGCTGATGTTAATAAGAATAGCGTATTAGGGTAGAATATTTCTGGATGCGTGAATTCAGGCAAAGGCTAATTTCGTTAGATTATACAAGTACAAGACTACAAGTACACAATAAATAATTATATGTATATTGTGTTCATTATATTATGTCAAATATATTATGTTTATTTAGGGTCGACCTTCTGAAGGTCAGTTGCGTTGGATGGATGAAGCGTTTTATCACAGCAATGTATCCGGTCATCCCAATATCGTGGAGTGTATCCAGGCCTGGGAGGAAGTGGGGTATTTCCATATTCAGATGGACTATATGCCGCTTCGGTAAGGGTTGATTACATTTACCGCCCACAAATATTGGTGCTGCTTTAGAAACTTATGGCTACATATGTGGTTGCCGGATTTTGTAAGTCATTCATGTTCTCATGCACCAGGCTCGACGATTACGCCGAAAAAATGTACCCTTTAGCCCCAGCTGTATTCTGGACTATTTTGACGGATGTGCTAATGGTAGGAATCTGTTTTGCCGAATGTACGAGCATATAAAGCATGCTCGTATTAGCATGTAAAGCGGCATTTGCTGACTTCTATATTTTGGTAATTGCTATAAAAAACTAAGATCGCTCAGAGTTATTATATTATGTTAAAACTAATTTGCAATTTTGCTGCTCAAACAGGCACTGGAGCATTTGCATAAGATGGGATACTGCCACTTAGATATCAAACCGGAGAATATTTTTCTGGATGAGTTTGGAGTGACAAAACTGGGCGACTTCGGGTTAATAACCCTTGTGGAAACGGTAAATTTAATCAACATGAATTTTTTTGGGAATCAGTTCTAAATTTATCTCATGCTCAGAACGGAAAGGAAGCCGGGGATGCGCGTTACATGCCATTTGAATCATGTGATTCCACCAAACTGGGTCCCGCTGTGGATATTTTTAGGTAGCATACAAGATTACTCATTGAATGTATGACTGTTTAGTGTTATCTTGATTTTGCATTTTGACAGTGAGGTATTCTCTTTTGTGGTTTAGTTTAATTTAAAAGAACACGGTTCACATTAATCTTTTGAAGTTAGGTATTGCGCTGGACTGAAAATGGCTCATTCTTGAATTACTTGTAGCCTGGGTATCACGATGTTGGAATTGTGCACGGATGTACGCTTGGATAGTCATGGACGAAACTGGCGCTTGTTACGGGAGATACAATGGCCCGATGCGTTTTACAGTCGTAAGATCAGAGCGTTTCCAATGGACGTTCTCATTTTTTGTTATTGTTTTAATTGAACACGTGATTTAAACATATTTTTTCTACAACATCTTTTGCTCTTCCTATATATCTGCTTTAATAGCTCAAGTTTTGCATTTCATCCGACTTCGGTGTCTGGTGGTACTAAAACCTTCGATGATTTTGTTTGAGCAGTCTGATGAGTTTAAATAGTGTTGGAAAATTCGTAGGTATACCGGTTGAGATGCAGCCCATCCTTCGCCAAATGATGGCGGTTGATCCCCGTCTGCGTCCTTCCGCTTCGAGTCTTCTGAAACTCGCTCCGATTTCTCAGTGTGCTTTTCGACGTCAGACATACTTTTTGGTATGCTTCATCGTAGTAAAAACAGTTCGGAGGTTACGGAAACGCATCTTCAAATTTTTCTGCTCTTTTTACTGCAACCAGCTTTGAAATATTCCATAATAATCGTTGAAGTTGTACGACCGGGTTGATCACTTGATTTAATATGATTTCTATGTTTGTCAGTTTTTCATTAGGTAGAGACGAATGTATTCAATACCAGTAAGCTTTTTTTGTAGATGCTACCGTTGTTGCGCTGGCAGAAGTCTGTGACTGAGACCATGGTCAACAGTTTTTACCGCGGAGTCGATTGGCTGAAAAGCTGGAAGTGGTTCGCCTCGCAGGATCCGGTGACGACCGACCGGCCTGTTACGCCTGTGGGGAATTTTAGCGCGTTTGAGCATTCCTTGCACTTCAGCTTTCTAACAGACAGTACGCGCAATTTTCAGGACTTTTACCCATACCTGTATTTCTTTCTTACGTAGTAACAAATTTCCATCCAGAACTTATTTCTTTTCTGTTTGAGGAATTTTACTGGAATTCATTGCATCGTTTTGGTTTGTTTTAGCTGGGAAAAAGGACGATGGATCAGAAAATGAGCTGGAAGAGCCGGTTTCGCGACCTGGAAATTTATCCAAAGTGAGTTTTTTTGCGTATGAGAAGTTTTTTTGCATATAAGGAATAAATAAATATTTAGCTTGTGCTTATTCAAATTCAGATAGATTCTGAGTTGCTTTTTCCTAATTTGCGTCCAGCAGTGTATTTAGCTGTCAGGGCGGCGTAATGATGTTCATAACCTTATTGTCTTGTCATCGTAGTGGAAGTACTAGTACTGCTGCTCTCATACTCGTAGTTCTGTTTAAATTTCAATAATGTTATGCCACTCGGGATGCATTGAGTGCTTTCCTTGTACATACAACCGTTTTCCGGTTTAAAGGGTTTGTGCGGCTGTACCTGAATCATATGAAATTATTTAAGCTCATCAAGGGGAATATTATATTTTCAGCATGTGGTTTAATTGATTGTTGATTAACTTTGTTAAGCGACTACATCTGCAACACATAACTGCCTTTAATTTTCTTATACTATAGCTCGAGTATTTTGCATGGCGTTTTTAATTTTGTGGTTTTGCCCAATAGATATTTGCGGAATTCGATTCCGACGAAGAGGCCACAGAAGCGTTGTTCCTGGGTTCCGACCAGGAAGACCTGGACGATTCATCGCCTTTTCTCTGTTCTCTGCAAGAGTTGAAAGTCACGGAGGATATTGCGGTTGATAACAAATTTGTGCCAGTTTCTCCGGATGACAATCTCAGCAGCGGTGCTGCGGAGAGCGACGATGGTCCGGTGGATTTGAATGAAGTACACTATTTCGGAGCGACCGAGCTGGGTTTCGAAGAGGATGAGAAGGCCAAATAACGGAAGGGTATTTTTCTGGAGAAGTTACCGTAAATTCTTTATCTCTTACGGTTTTGTTTTACGTTTGTTACCCTGTTCTGATGATCGCTTTTGGCGATTTCTTGCGGTTGATGATCTGAAATCCAGAATTTTGTTGTTTATCCATAGGGAGGTTTACACTTAATTTTGACGAACTTCTTGTTTTTTTGTTGTCGAAAATTAAAATGGAACAAAACTTCTGTAGTCATTTGTGACAGTCTTTGAACTTTGTTAATTTTTTGTGCTAGGAAGGTTGTACGTCAGTACAGAACTAGGAATATTTTGATAACAAAAAATATTTGCATGACAACAGGTAATATGGATACTCGAAGTACTTCTGGAGCAGATCAGGATACCGGGGAAGTACTCGTGGCGCTGTGTATTGGTGACTCTATATAATTATAACCTTTTTATTTCCGATGTCTGCTATATGACTTACTGTTAGGAAGATAGCTTTTAGGAATCTTTCTTCGTTGATATTCTTCTGAAGTATGCTTTTGAGAAGAAATAACAAGCGGTAACACGAGCGAAAATTCTGATTTAGGCAGGGAACGAGTACCGTCCGCGAAGTGATCCTTGACCACTGTTCCGTAAAGTATGTACGCGGCTACGCGCCAAGTCCAACCTGAACATTTCTGGCTGATATTATCCGGAAACTGTCATTTTTTATTTGGTCGGTCATACTAGTGCTAAAACCTGACTCAGATTAGAATTTCGTATTTACAGATTATAAACATACTATTTTGAGAAAATGTAAATTTTTAAAAAAATCTTGCTTGCTTCACTCACTATGGAGTGCTATTATTGCTTGCATGATAACCGTTTAATCCAATCGGTGGGACACAGTAGGGCTATATTAGAAACTGGCCCATAAAACACAAAACATGGTTTCTAAATGCACAAGCAGGCCGAAGTCAAAATGTGGTAACGATGATATAGTACCATCCTTTCACTGAAAAAGACAAGAGTGTGAGTGCATTGAGTAGATTTTCTTTATCCTCGGCCATCTCCGGCACCAGTGGCCCGGGGCTGAATCAGTCAGCCCCTGAGAAATCCCCCGCCGAACCGGATGACATATTCCCGCGCTGTTGGATCTGTACAGGCACACATTTGTCAGCTTACAGCACTCCCCGCTCACGTCAAACCCATTGTGCTGAGGGGAAAGGGAATAAATAGCGCCTCGTACCATGCATGTGTGGTGTGTACAGATATGTGCGCGGCATTGTCCATAATTACACCGCAAAGCCGAAATCTTTTGCTTTTCTGCCGCGGGCCTAGTTATTCATGCCGATTTACCGAGGTATATTCCGCCCTGTCATATCAAAATGTCAAAACTATTAATTACCCTTTTGCAATTGATACATTAACAATCATTTACGCATACGTACAAAGCGTAAATGCCATAATTTTGTAACGCAGCGCTTTTTGTATTTTCCAATTTTCCTGCGTATTTCAGGTTTGAAAACATTTTCCTATATGAGTGCAACTGTAGAAGTATATGAAGTGTTGATATAGTTTTCATGAAAAGTTTTCATTCAAAAAGGACCAAGCATGTTACAATTGGTACGGTTCTTCTGTTAGGACACCGGTACTGGTGACCTTTCTTCACCTGGTGACCTTTTTCCGGTACTTCACCATGCATGCAGCTTCCCGCCTATAACAGAAAAGCTGCAATCGGTTTGTTAGCTTTACCAGTTTATTTCGAAGAGAACTAGAAAACAGTGGACATGGATTTCCCGCCGAGGTCAGACGACCGACAGTATACGTTGATACATTAAGCGCAGTAAAATTATTCAAGCGCAGCTCGTCTTTTCGTCGCAAACGGAAAACAGCCGCCTAAAAACATGCATATGCCGTGAAAAACGGCCCGCGGCCCTCCGTGCCAGCAGTGTATTCACAGTGGGCCGGCCAGCGAAGCGGATCCCTGCAGGTGGAAGTGGTAATATAGCCTGCCATAACAATCCGTGCGCTTATATACATACTATCCATCCATTCTATTTTTCCAGGAGCGCGCGTCACATTCTCCAAACCAGTAGAGTATACAGTTTACGACGGGTTGGATACATGTGAATTATTTGGCCAGGCGCATTCGCAGAGCCTTGTGCAGCTATATCGCCCCTGGGCTATTTGTACAAAACGCGGCGCACACTGGCGGTTCGGCTGAAGGAGAGCACATGCATATATCCGTATACTTCTCTGGTCCCGCGCACTTTTCCCCCCATTGCTGGTCGATGCCGCGGGCTATAGCACCGGAATGGATCAAGTGACGAACAGGGCCGGCTAATGGTGGATGCCAAGAGAAAGGGAGCACAAAAGATGGGGAATTCTCTCAAAATATCACGCAATTTCTACACACTGTGTGCGGATGACCTGTCTTTGTTGGCGGATAGTATTATGTCGTTGTGAACTGACGGTTGCTGCGTGTCCCTGTAAAACGATGCTGTTGTATCGTATGGCCAACTGGGCCCAGTCACACGGCGTTTCGCTTAGACGGCTGCAATATTTTGAAAAAAGGTAAGTATTGGGATAACTATACTTATTGTTATTTCACTGTTTGCACGAGATACAAGAAACTACAAAATCACGACACGGCAACCGGTAACCAATGTTGAAAACGCCGCAAATACATTTCTACAGTAAATTATTTACTATTCAAAACGAAAAGTTTGCCGGCCGTCGGAAACCGGAATCTAGTAAGCAGTGAATCACAATTAAATATCTGAGCCGCAGCTTCCCTGTTCAAGGGCATTTGTTAATCTGAATAACTAACAGGGTATTTCGCGAAGAAGAACGTTTCGTCTTGGTCATCTTGGACAGGTGTTTTCTGTAGTCTTCACAATGTCATGCGACTTTTCTGAATTAATGTCAAAAAGGTCTGACAAAATTCCGAGTTTGGTTGACGGCGGAAAATGGCTGTGAGCATCACTGCCAGTTGCAGACGCATCCCTGGCTGGTATCGCGCGCGGCCGTCGCGGCAGTGTTCCGTTGCGTGTTCTATTTTCCATATAGCCAGCTGGTAGCGTGGCCCCGGGGCACTTCCACCTCCCTCGGCTGATTAGTTCTCGGTTGCCAGTGGTGCGAGAGCACCAAATCAACATACACATACCATACACACATCGATGCTATAGTTGTACGTGATCGCGCTCGCGACGCTGCAGTGACAAAAATCAACCGCTGACTTTATACTTTATAGGAATATTTTTCCTAACGGTTATTACAAATTCATCGCCTTCACCAGCCGTCGAAATAAAAATCCTGCCTGCCGGCAAGATATTCGCATAATTAGACATATTTTCCTTGCAGTGTTAATCTTCGCGCTGCTGCAGAGTGCGTTGTCGTCGCAGTTGCGTGTGTACACATTCGATTCTAACGCGCGCGCGGCGACTGCTTTTGTTGCGTTGCCCATGAAAATGGACGAGAAAAGTCTGTTTATGAATCGCTCGGTGATTGTCCGTACAACATCTCCGTCTCCTTCTCCGACGGCGGCCAGCTCACCGAATCTGGAGGGTTTAAATTATTCCGGACGCAGTTCGGGTGGTGGGAATATTCGCAAGTTTCCGCTTGGAATTCCACTGTCCGCGCCAACGACTTGCTACACGGGTGAGTCACTCGTTCCATGTTAACTGCTATTTTCTGAGCCGTAAATGAACAGAGATTCAGTATTATCATCCGGGTTAGCGTAAATCTAGGATACCGCTGTTTAACCGTGATTCAGAACGCTGCGGCTTCTGTATTTGTGAGAACAAACCAATCGGAAACTTTTCATAAACGCTTAATCGTTCCATTGTCACTGATTTCAGTTTGCAAACTGGAAGCTTGTACTAAAATTGTTACGTTAGTTGAACGTGAACTACCGCTGATTGAACGGATCTAGTGCTCAACGAGCAGCTGTTTTGCCAAGGTATATACGACTATATCTTGGTTGTTAGTTCTATTATGTATTTTTATTCCACGCTGTTTACTCGGGATTGAACAAAAAAAAAGAGTATTGCTCGACAAACAAACTTACGGCACTTGCGAAGTTTTGACATCACCATAAAATTAATATTATGATTTATAAGCCGGCAAATTAAAACCTTCAAAGTATTTGTAAATTAAATGAATTTTTTCTTTATACACCATGTCGTATTATTCCATTCTAATTCTAGCGAATGCAAAATAAAAAATCTCAGATTATTTTTATGCAACTTTGCTGGTTTTGACAGCTAACTTGTAAGTATTTCGAGCGATGATGCTGTACAGGCTTCTGTTTGGCGTGACGATTTCAAACACACCGCGGCTCGGTGCCGATACTCAAAATAACGCAGTTTTAATTGCCACACACAATTAATACTCAAAATGCCATTCACCTTTCTCTCTTTCCATTTAGCCCCAGTACATATTGATGTTGGCGGTAAAATTTACACGTCATCACTGGAAACCTTGACAAAGTAAGTGATAAACCGAAAATGTGTACAACTTCGCCGGTTTGTGTAGTAAACGGGTGTTTTTAATGGGAAAAGCTGTCAAGAAAGTACACGTACATTAATTGCCAACAAGTGCGGTGATCACGATGTGGTGTATTGTTTCCGGCGATTTTTTACTTCTGACTCACCGATCACCAATCACCTTCGTGCAATTCATTGTCGCTGGTAAATAATAATCTATTCGGAACAAACTCAACAAAGTACGGATACGTGAAAAATTAGCCATACCGGCACTTGTTGCCAACCGGTTCGGCCGTTTTACGTAACTCTAACAAGCCAGATCACGTTTGTATTATTGTGCATCCGACATGAAAATCGCGACCGTACTTTCGAAAAAAAAATTGGCATATGTTGCACTTTATCGATGTGGTTGGTTATTGTATTTTTAACTCAAATGTGTTTTACGTACGTATATATAGTATTTAAAATTAAAGCCTGAAATCATAGAATTTTGATTTAAATTTATTTAAATCGGTAAAAGCTATTACTCGTACAATACAATTAATGTTCCTAGAATAGTTTAATCGTAGTGAATCTTAATCTTAACAGCTTAACCTTAACGAAATTTCAGGTACAGACTGTAGAGCATTAATTTTATCCATTATTAGGGAATGCAATAGCCAAGCGAAAAACACTGTTACAAGTTACAACAGGGCATGCAAATGCATTGGCGGAGACTGCGCAATACTTGTTTCAATTACTAGTAATTTTTGTTATTTTATTTACAGTGTTTACTGAAATTAAATACATTACCTCTATGCAATAACTACCGGTAGACGGTAGTTATTCTACGGTGCAAGTTAAGGTTGTAGTTACACCGCAATACGATACTTTCAACCAGCTTCGTTGCCGAGCTGACCGGAAGCGGGCGCATTATGTGCATACTGCATGTCCGTGCCACAGTTAGTTATGTTGGAATGAACGGGTAGTGAATTTTGGAATCAAGTTATTTATTGAATCAACAATTAATGTCGTTATCAGATATCCAGAATCTCGTTTGGCCAAGCTCTTCAACGGCACCATTCCCATCGTCCTGGACTCGCTGAAACAGCACTACTTCCTGGACCGCGACGGCCGCATGTTCCGACACATCCTCAACTTCCTGCGGCACGGACGGCTGATGGTGCCTAAAGATTTTCAGGAATGGTCACTTCTGTACGAAGAAGCCAAGTACTTCACGCTGCCCGGCATGATCCAGGAGATTGAGGACATCCTCGACCGCAAACCCACCTCGATGGCCTCGCCCCTTCTGCCCCCCTGACCCCTTCCACCCCACCGCCACCGTCTCGCAAACGCCCCCGCCAAAACGGCAGCACCCCCGTGGATGCCTCACCCAGTGACGCCTTCACGCACGACTGCATCACGGTGCACATCAGTCCAGATTTGGGGGAGCGGATCACGGTGACCGCCGAACGGGGGTTGCTGGAGGAGGTGTTCCCCGAGGTATCCGGACATGTTAGCAATGGGGTAATGAACTCGGATTTGACCTTTCTCACACGGTTCCCACTGAACGGCTACTGCAAGCTGAATTCCATTCAGGTCATTCAGAGATTGCTGACGGTGGGATTTACGGTGGCCGCCTGTTCGGGTGGTGGCATGGAGATGCAGCATTTCACCGAGTATCTATTTGTGCGCAAACTCCCGGCGTTGTAAACTAGAAGGGAAATGAGCGGATGGCATATGTACCAAAGTTCGCGTAACGGTCACGTTCCTAGCTCGTTTATTTTTATCATCGGTAATTGTAGCGCTTGGTGGATTTTATAAATTATTATAAAACTTTGTTCAGTTTTTACTGGCTGGAAATCCTTCGCAAGTCTGTATTAATCGTTAAAATTAAAGTAATCAATACAAGTAGCATTTCACTTACAGTAATGTTAGTGAGTAATTGCAACAGTGCAACCATGGCAAAATATACACTACGTGATAGCAATGAAATTCTCTCTCTGTACCAGATTTATTGGGCAATAGCCGCCAAGATAACAATAATTGCAAGCGCCGGTACACTACGTGAAAGTTAAAATTTAAACATTAAAAAAACAACCAAAATCTCTATCTTCTCTTGGGTTAAAAGGTAACGTGCTCAAAACAGCCGTAGCATTTCCTTTTACAACGGCGAGACTAAAACGCTGCTTAACACTTCGTTGACTAGCATGGTTACTCACACCACAACTGCTCTTATTAAATCACTAACTAATTTCAAAAAAATAATTTTACAGCAAATTTTGGGCTGTGTGGGTGAAAAAACGTCTAGTTTCTAATAGTACTCTTAACAACACACCCAGTGCAGCCGGAAGTCCAGAACTGGGATGGTGGAAGTCACCATCCTTTTGGGACACTTACATTCAAGCTGTTACACCGCCCGATTGCGCAAATGAAAGATGTCGAAAAATTCAGGCCATGTACTAAACAGTATCAGCACGCTACTGTAAAATTTTGAGCAATGTATGTTTTGCCGATGGCTTACAAAAAAATCGGGCGCATTAGGAAGTTTGGGAAGACTGCCCAATGAAGCCGCTGTTCGACTGACAGGCATACAAGGAAAACGATCAGAGCAGCTAACAATCAGATGAGCGCGCATACCGCTAGGGCAATAAAAGGGTGAATCCGGGTCAGCATAGACTAAGCAAAGACAATAGCTGCGGAGCCATGCGATCAATTAGCAGATAAGCAGAACATCTCATCAAAAGATGTTCCCATGTTCTTTCATCGCCAGTAAATTTTGCGCAGGTGCCAGTGTATTTCTTTTGTCTTAATGGTCAATGTTATTGGTCAAACCTCTTTAAAACAAAAAGAATGACTGGTTAGTAGATCTTAATGACCAATAGGATGCTTCTGGTGACTTCCACCAAGAAAGCCAGCCGCGTTGCTCAAAACTGCTAGTCAACGAAGTGTTAATGAAAGCAGTAAAACGCGCTTCTCCAGTTAAGTCTCGAATTTTACGGCCCATGAAATGCAACAGTTCACTGAAAGCGGGGCCAAATACTCCCAACGTCTCAATCACTAAAGGATAAAAAAAGTTTCCATTTTCCACAGACGAATATGTCCGGCGCTTAGCATTTTCTGCGAGCTGAGCCACGTATCCAGCTTTCTTTGAGCTGCCGGTGACATGCGAGTCCGCGACCGTACACCAACTGGTTACATCCCACACCAGTGGTTTCCCTTGGCGGACAGGGATCAGCGTCATGCCGTCGGGCCTTTTTCCGTTCACACTCGATAAGCCGGTCGGTTCTAGCTGACAAGGAAAACCGGCGCTTTCGCAACAATTCTTAGCAATACTGTTCATTTCTTTATGTCGCGCCCATCGTCCCTTAGTTGACTTATTGCAGGATAACCCGTGATGTCCGTTAGTTTCTACTTGCGTGCCGCACGCAATGCAATTGTGCGCCACTACAACTGGCAATCCGAACCGCAGTGCGACACCAATTCTGACCTCGTCGTCTCTAAGGAATGTTCCCAGACATGGAGCGGGCAACGCATTCAACCAGGCTCCAGAGTCTTTGTTTAGTGCAGCCAGCAAGACGGCCCTGTTCCGTTCGTTTCCTTCTGTATTCGACATCAGCATGGCAATGTCCCGCTCAATCATTGGTGTATCCCATGCGTACTGAAACTTCCGAATAAAATCAGCAGGAATCTCACAATGCATATATTGTAACCAGGACTCAATAGCTGCTCTCTTCAGTCGACTGGTAAAACTCAGAAACGATGGGCTGCACAGAGTACACCGATACCAAATAGGCACAGACAGCTAATGTCTCTGTGCGGCGCGTTCCCAAACCTCCTCGCCGTACTGGAAGAGACATCTGAGTCCACTGTAATTCAGATATCTTTACGTTGACCAATTTCTCAATCCCCGACCGCAGCATATCGTCGTATTCTTATGAGTAATTAGAGCCCCCAAACAGTATACTGTACTGCCGTATACGGCATACTGTACGGCACAACAGTACGTAACCGTAGTGAAAATTGGTACTGTAACGAAAGTGCCGTACGTAACCGTAAGCCAAAAACACGGTTTTACAATGGGCTTGCCGTATACGGTACTGCCGTATACGGTATACCGTACGGTCAATCCAGTTATTTCTGCCGTAACCGTACCGTAGCCGTAGGAGCCGTAAGCGGAAACCGTACGTAGCCGTACAAAAATTTGTTACTGTTTGGGGGCTCTATGAGTAATTGAGGATGTTCATAACAACGGGAAGTGCGTAAACCGTATAGCACTTTCGGAACGCTTAGGCAGTTCTTGAGGAGAAAAAGGCTGTAATGGGCTGGCAATTTCTCCAAACGATGTACGAATTTCTTAAGTTGTTCCGTTTTACTAGCCAAAAATCCCGCACATGCCGACGACGTCATAGGTGCGCCTAATAAGGTGAAATTGTCCGTGTTCAGCTGTATCATATCTGGCCAGTTGCTCAACAGGGATGTCCGGATTAATGATTCATCTTCGCCCTTTGTTACAACTGGGAAAAATTCGCACTTGCTGAAGTACAGTTCCAAGCCTAACTTCGCCGCTCGTTCTTCAATTCGCTTAATGGCCGCCATTACTGTTTCCACGGCTCCCGCTAAAGTAACATCATCGAGGAACGCCAAGAACAACTCACAATCCAGATCGGTGAACAGCGGTAACGTGGGTAGGCTGTAGCCAAAGGGGCCGGACGGGTCACCCTGTTGCACTCCCCGGGCGGATGACAACAATTCTTCTCCGCAGACTAAATGACTGCTGAAACGGTATGACTGCCAGAAGTAGCCGTAGTAAGCGGGAAAATGTTCACGAACAGCCCATAATAGAGCGTCTCGTCTTAATAGGTTGAATGCGTTCTTAAAATCGAGTTTGACAATTACCCGTGCTTCCGCGTGAGGAGTTTCCAAATAGGCGCGCACCCCGTGGATGATAGCCTCGGCTCCGCCCTTGATTCCAAAACCAAACTGAACCTTATTACACAGTTCTTTCATTTTGTCAGAGCACCTCTGGCTAACAACTTTCGAAACTAAACGTCTGAGGGTTTCTCCAACGGCAATAGGACGTATACCGCCGTCTTTTTTCGTCAATGGGATTAGGTTGGCGCCGAAGAAGAAGGGCCTGATATCCTCGGGGACTTCGTTATGCAGTACATGATTCACGAAGTCAGTCAAAGCGGAACACAATTCGCCTTCCTCAGCTCCAGGCCCACACAACAAATCTTTCAGATGTTGGGGCCGTAGGTCTGAACAACCACCAGCAGAACCTGAAGGGAAACTCAGCACGGCATTTAAAACTTCAGCAGGTGTAGCCAGGGAAGGCCTATGTGTCTGTTCAGGTGGCGATGGATAATCGCTGTCTTGTGGTTCCGGCGGGTGCTTATTGTGCAAGGACTCTAAAGTGTCTGCATTCATGGGCGCGAGTGCATCTTCACCCATTATTACTCCGACGGCCCGTCGTACATTGTTGTCTTGTAACAGGGACGTGGTCAAAGCCGCCAGTCGCTCATCGTTCATCTTGCTTTTACGGGTTTTGTCGCTTCTGGTATGTGCACGGGGAGGATGGTGGTGACAGGACAAATCAGCCAGATTTCTGCGGATAATTGTTGAAAGTGACTCCTTCCGGACTGATTTTGCGGCAGGTAAGGACAGAGCTCTTGAACCAAACAGTAACAAATCCACCCATGACGCTGAAGAGTTTTCACGTACGCATTTGCGGAGTATCTGGGTAAGGCTCTGAGCGCATGGCCGTCGAACCGTCTTTGGCACTCTTTTCGGGAGAGCATAATGTACTCCAGAGAGGATAAACTGAAGGAGGTGCTGACCCGATTGGGGCTTGGCAGCGGCAGAGGGCTGTTGCGCTTGGAATTTCTTGCTGCAGGCCTTGACGTGGTTGGCGAACCCAGCGCCTTTGGTGAACATATTCTGGCAATACTGACATTGCTGATCTTTCGCCATTTCAGTGGAACCCAAAGGCTACAAATACGTTAAAAGCCCAGAAAAGCAGTTCCACAGAAACAGAAAACGACATCGACCAGCGAGAAACGACATACCCGATTTACCTGGGGTTCACAAAAGTTCCCCCCAAGTAGTGTCGTTCAAGGCTCCTTAAACATCGCAGCGAATCCAAACTCCAAACTCCAAGCCATTTCCCATCGCGCAGGTGCAACTGTGAACGGCCGATGCGCAGCACTTGCGCTGACCAGGGAAGTTTTGACGTAGCGGCAATGGGCATCGAGCAGTCGCGCAGGTGCACGCGGCTGGCTGAGCATATGTGCAGAAACGGACGGAAGACAGCTTTGTTTGCTCTTCCAATTACGACTGGCGGTCATCATTTCTAGGCGGTTGATTAAACAGCGCTGCTACCACGTAGTGTAGTGTTATGCCTTGGTGCAACTACTGTACATACATGTATATCAGCCAAGTTGAGCCACATAAGCTGACTTGATAACGCAACCAGTGAATCGAAATGATATCGATATACCTATTTTTTTAGGTTAACCCGGCAATGCCCGAGGTATCAAGGAATTTTTTGTCGAAGTTGAAATTCATACCATAGAATAACAATAATATAATGAACTTAAACTAATTTTTTCAAAATTTTTGCTGCAGTAGTTTAAAATTTGAAGGGTAGGTGGAAATTCCACTGCTTGGGCATTCACGATATACAATACGTACGGTGTGGGCAAGGTGGTTGCCGGTGCGACACCACACAAATTCCGTTGTACACAACACTGTGGCTACTTGACCTACTCGAATCAACCTGGCTGTGGTAGCTGTTTACAATAGTTAGCTTATGCAATTTAATTCATTATGAAAAGATTCATGGTTGAATTTATAATCAAAAGAATGTTTCATTTCCGGTCAGCATGCAACAGGGTCATGGTGGGCTGCGCCAGTTTACATGTGCACAACACTGATCACAGCCAGCCATATTTCTGGTTGGCTGCTTCGATCACAACGTCGTTTTATTGTTCTCTTACCTATTGCAGTCGAAGAAAAAATTGCGATATGATAAGAAAAATGTTTTATTATCATTTATGCTATTATAAAAGCACTCAGATCAGTCAGATGTCTTTATTTGTTTGATATTTTGATCAGTTAGTTGACAGTGTTCTGGTTTGGCTACTCTCCTAGTGTGCAACGGCTGAATCATATGAAGTGTGCGGCTCTGGTCACTGTGCCTGTTCAGGCAGCATGTTATTGTCCTACGCCAATGCCCAAGCGGTGGAATTTCCACCAGCTGTTTTTGAAAATTCACAGTTTTTTACAGAAGAGCTGCAAACTTTTGTGTGATACTGAAATTGTGAGATACTCACATGAAGTTATCACTAATTTAATCCAAAATTTTTATCACAACAGCCGATTTAGATACACTTCGTAGAACTTTATGTTATTTTTTCAGTGTTTTTTAAGCAATGTACGTTTTTTATGGTGTGTCTGATTAAAAACTAAAATTCACTGTTTTGAAGAGAGTTATCTTTGTTCTATCTCATGCATATGTAACCCAGGTAATGACAATAGTTCTGGCGTTGTAAAAATTAGCGAACTTTACTGGTGGTTTTTCCACCTAGCAGACGTTGCCGGGTTAATTAATCAATATCAGGTACGAGCACCACGTATACGGTAAATACAGCAAACAGTTTAATTTATTTCCAACTTGTAAGCAGTTCCGTTCATTTGTTTGGGATCAAAACTGGTTTGCAAACTGCAGACACGATTATAAAACCACACTGCAAACGATACAACTGAATTTCGTTCTTCATCAAACTGAACACGTTCACATCGATTTTTTTAGAGCAAACAAGTTCAGATAAGATACCGAAATAAGCAAACGTTCCATAAATGCTAGTAGCTAAATAATAATTTGGATTTGATCAGTCACTGGTATAGTTTAAAAAGAAGCTAACAGGGTGTCGTTTGCCAACAGTGTCCAACACAACGAACACGCACCCGCAAACAGCCAAAGCACATCACAGTTAAAAAGGGCGTTCCAGTACTCTCCAACTTTGTCAAAGTCGATTCCGCTTAACAACACGATCCAACTAATTAAAACTATCATCAAAACACTCACACTTTACAAAACAAAAAAGTCTATTTTGTTTACACGGTTAAATTTTGTACAAAACATCTAACAACGCACGCATAGGGCGACTGCGCACTGACACGGCGCAACAGGGTTTTTTGGTCAATCTCGAGAATACGATCAGGATCCGCGTCGACGACGCTGTCCCTGTCATCATTTAAGCTGATGGAGAAGCTGGTAGAGTAGAGGAGATTTACTCAGTTTTCCATTGGTTTCCATCATGAAAATCACATCCCGTAAACTAGCCCGTTTGATTTTCGGTCGATACGGCTGCAAAGAAGCATATATCGGACCAATTACAACATATTTTGATGGCAAAACTACTACAACATTAAAGTTACAACTTTATTAGAAATAGCCACAACAAAACGACCGAACTACTATTCTCATAGTTAGCAACACAACGAAAACAATCCAAAAAGAATTAACAGAAATGTGAGAAACCATTCTTACTCATTAAAATTTAACGATAACGCAATTTTCCTTTAACATCTTTATTTAGTAGTTTCTGTAATTTTCAGTTCTCCGTTTAGGTAAAGGAATTCGCACGGTGTACATATTAAAACATGTAAAAATACGCTGTCTTATATAATAAACTATAAAGTATCCACTTCATACCTGAGACCGGATTTCGGAGCGAGATATACTGGTGATCATCGACGTGCTCGCTCCGCCGGAAGAGCCATCCACAACAGCGGTTGTCTGTTCTAGTCTGGGCTTTTTTCGAGGACCACTGCCTAGAGCAGCCAGCGCCGCTTCGTTGGCTTCTTTTGTGCGCAGCTCTTCTTGTTCTACTCTTTGCATCTATAACACAAAACAGATCGATTACGATCTATACAGTGTGTAAAGCAGAAGTGTTAATGTTCAAGTTCGCTCAAGACGTAAAACATCGACGTACGCTAAACTTGGTTCCAAATTTTTAGACAGTTTTATACGTGAACGTAAGATCAAGCAATACAAACAACGACAAGCACCAGAGACGCATGAGCCAGCCGTTATTAGAACAGTTGTTACCTCTTTCGCCCGCTGTTTCATTTTCATATGCTCAGGATCTTCCGGCCGATTCCGACTCTGAAACACACACCCTTCGCATGCGCTTACAAGGTGCTTCATTTGTGCACATCCAAGCAATACCTTGCCGATCTTAAGGAATGTTTCTTTCTCTTCTTCTTCACGCTTGCGCTTTTCTACTTTATCTAGCTCTTCCATGAACCGCATCTGCCCACGAATGTCCTGAGTCACCTTGTAATGCTGATGACCCTAAACGAAAGAAAAAAGTAAACAGCTACAAATGTTACGGGATCATAAGCGATGCAAAACAGAAACAAACAGGTTTGTGGCATGAAAAATAACTGCAGCATAGATCTTCATATATTTTTGACACTAAATCTGTGCGGATTACCATAGATAGTTTCGAATACGTCCGAACCAGCGTACTATCACCTAGTTTTAAAATAAGCGCATAGTACTAACTTCCGACGATACGAAACTATTATTAGCGGAACTATTAAACAAAATACAGAATCCACCCATGGCATGCCCATAAACATATTAAGACCACAACCATAGTATGTTTAAATCATCACGAAGTATAACACAACTGATTGCAAAGAATGATTTAACATAGATATTCCTGATTTCGATCTGAATACAGCCGCAAAACATTGTACGTTGTTTTCACTTTCGATGTCCCAAACAACTTACTCGAACACTCTCCGAGCGATGTTCAGCAATGATGTTCAAGCGTTCACAGCAGTTCCTTAGTCGAGCTTCAACGGCATGGGAAATAATAGTCAGCACCTCACCGGGAAGGTCGTCTTGTACGTATCCTTTCACTATAAAAACGATTATTACATTACATAGCACTAACAAAAATTACTTACTGTCAGAACACAACAACAACCTACCAGCACTCAGCACCCTCCGCTTAACAGAATCATGAGCCATCAGCGTGTGATCATCGCCAATACTCCTTGTTTGCGTACCCACAAGCTCCGCCGAGGATAGTTTGGCACTTTCTTCATTCAGGTTCACACCACCCATGGCCGCCACGTCGTTCAGTTCGTCCTCATCGGCTTTGTGCTCTTTAGATTCTCTATAACATCAGGAAGAGTGATCAAGCGATAAGGGATTGTCGAAATTTAGCTACTTCTGATTATAAGTAACAAAGGCAAACTGCAAATTCCAGAAGGAGAGATATGAATAATGACAAGCAAACTGTAACTTTGTACGAAACTGGCAACCACTTTTGAGACGAATTCTCACAAATACACACTCTAACACAGCAGTGCATTACACTGTACATCATGTAAACTCCCAGGGAAAACTGGCGCGCTTACTTTTGTCCGAGAGTGGGAGGAGCCTTGGCCATTTCCTGCTCTAGTCGTGCCCGTGTCTCTTGTATCTCTTTCTGTCGCTTTTGTTTGGCTGCGGCTTTTTTCTCTGCCGGTGGGGGCTTGGGAGCCTTGGGTGCTCTTTCCGGTTTTGTGTGCGTGGAAAGAGGCGGTACGGAAGCAAAGGCAGGATGCTGTTCGGAATTAGCGTTGACCGCCGCGGCGGCTGCAGCAGCAGCGGCCGCACTCTTGGCGCCCTTGCCTTTACCACCGGACTTGGCAGGGGCAGGACGCGGTGATTCAGCCGCCGTCGGCGGTGGCGCACCCCGAGGCACGTGGCTGTCCGTCTATGCAAAGATAACGTTGTACATAAAAACAATACCAGCGTGTTTAATTCAGCTACATTTTACTTTTATATGGTGATGACAACTTCGTTACTTCAAGAACCATTTTTTTTACTAACACAAAAATTTCCATTTCAGTTTGTGAAAAAGCATCAATGCGATGACATTAAACAAATAAAAACACGGTCTAAAAGTGGCAAAAAACCAACAGACTTAGAGTCAAACAAGGCACACTGCACAAAGAAGCTGCTATAGATCTTCAATAAAAAAGCCAAACTCCAGCGGCAGTTGTAGATGTTCTACAAACCTATTACGTGAAACCCTAAATTCGTAAAGGCACAGAACAGGGACGCACGCGCCAATGCGTAACAATTGAGGCAACAACTGCCGGAAAGCAACAACATTTTGAAAAGACAAAACCTCAACATCTAACTTGATCAACCAGCGGTGTCCAAAATGCAGCGAAACTCGTACTACTACTAACTTTTTTGAAAATTCCATTCACATATTTCACGCCGACAAAACCGAAACCACTACAATGACTACACTGCTTTCGATCGCGAAATGACATATTACCGGATTAATACAGCGGCTAGTAACACCGAAAATTATGACGTCAGTAAAAAGATTACTGTAAATGGACACAAATTGTGAAACTGCAACAATCTTTGGTCATTCGATACAGTTTCGGTATACATCTTGCATGCGCAACGCTAAAACATTGTTATGCGAAAGACACCTTAGTTTTAAAATACAGGATAACGTTTTCATAACAAATCAATTATTGCGAACAAAATCTAGTAGTGCATCTGTTGGTTAATTAAGTATGAAATTTCCTGACTAAGCCGAAACGAACCTGACAAAAGCGAAAAAGACAGTATGCTAACAGTACTGGCATTACTGAATTAGTTTTTAGTTTCCATAATTAGTTTAGAATTAGTTTCCATAATTTAGAAAAAAATGCTGTACCAGCATCGACAAAACTAGCCAACCTAAATCGACAGTATCCCTATAATCCAGGTGCTACTTACCGGAGATGGTGCAGGAAGATTAGGCATAATACTGTTCAAAGTAAGGTTTGGATCGCTGATGGCAAGGGCAGCGTTGGGAGGCGGTTGGATGCCATCGATCAGGATCTCTCCGGTGGCCAGCTGCTGGCGCAACTGAGCCAAACAACTCTACAAGTAAAATAATGAAGATATTTCACAGGCAAAAAAGGTAATACTATAACACAGCAAATTTGTTTTACCCGAAGTAGAGGTGCGAGAATCGGTTGGGGTGTTGACTTCAGCTCCTCCTGTAATCGCTGAGCGAACATGTCCGGATTGATCCTCGCGTCCTAAGTGATAATCAAATTCTAATGCATGTTATGAAACAAATCGTCAGCTATCCCGAAAAATAATGCTATGTGTAAAATGAAACTTCTCGGTGTGATTACAAAAATTATGAAAGTATGTATCTGAAAAAGATTCTATGAGTATCTGTAAAAGCCCGAAAAGTATGTAACAAACAAAATATCGTCCTTCTATAACTCACCACCAGTTGTTGTAGCAGATCCCTGGCCGTCGGATACATGCTGGGAGTCTGGTTTTTGGACATGCTGAGCAAAGCCCCGAAGAACTGCTGGGCCTTTTTCAGAGGATCATCGATCGGTCTTGGTCCAGCCGGGCCACCCCCTGGTCCCGGACCCGAAGGAGGACCGGATGGAGCCCCAGGAGGCATTCCGTGGGGCATCATACCGGATTGAGGGCGCATGTGCATCGGTTGACCGGGATGGGAGGGCATGCCGCTTGCCCCCGAAGACAGAGCATGGCCTCCGACCACGCCAGGGGGACCCACTTGGCTGGGGATGCCCGGTGGTAGCTGGCCCGAGGAAGCGCCCTGGACGGGTTGGTGAGGGGCCTGCTGGCCAGGAAGGTTGGGCTACGTAAGATTCCCAAATGTTATAATCCGTTAATTGTTAAAGACAGTCGCCAGGCCAAAGGCCTACATCTTAAAGGACATACTGTATACACCTTGAAATTTAGCGAAATGCTTGAAAGGAATCCGAAACATTTAAGTATTGTGACGCGGTGAATTTCAGATCAACATTCCCATTTATACGCTAAAGAAGCAAACAAAAACTAGGGAATTTCAACGACATTAAACCAGAAAACTTACGAAAATTTTGGGAAGATTGGAAGAGCATCTCTATTTCGAAAATCCAGATCAATTAATTTCGTTCACGAGAAATTAATTTCCCAATCAATGTTCGAAATTCAAAAACCCCGCTACATCTACTGCATTATCGAACTAAGCTGATTTCCAAAACTCTTTCCGGAATACATTCTTGATCAATAATGTGATCATTCCTGATCATTCACTGTTTTATAATTTACAAAGGAAAAAGTTGAACACGGATAAAAACTGACAGACACCGAGGGATTTACGGTGGCCCTTGTAAAATTGCAGCGTAATCGCAGAGACGACTTACCGTGGGAAATCGAACGACATTTGCGAAGGACGTATTGAGCAAACCGGGCCTCTGGACGCCTCCGGCGATATTGGGACCGGCCTGCGGCGCCAAGCGCACCAACTGCAGCTCCCCCGAAGGACTCCGGATGAGATAGACAGTGCCCGGTTGCAAGGCGCTCTGGTTGGGCAGCGCGATGTTGGGCTACATGGACCCGAGAAGAAATCCCACTTCAGACATATTTTACGCGCGCCTATATGAGGAGGGGTGCACTATAGTTACCTGGGGGCCTCCGACCGTCATGTTGGGAGGGCGCACAAGGGAACCATTCAATTGCATATGATTCGGATGGCGGATAGCCTGCGATGGGGGAAACGCGTTGCTGCCGCTGGTCGGACCGTTAATTTGGCCCAAAGCAGAATTATCAATAATACGGTGCCGCTGAGGACCTAATTGTCTTGGCTGCTGCCCGTCCATCACAAATGGCGCGGGACTTTGAGAATGTGGCCATCGGTGAATGAAAAGCGACAGGCACACTATGTGATTTCTCTATTGAAAGGATTCAAGGACGCAGAGAGACAGATGCCGAGCGTCAATAAACTTGATGTGAGGGGAAAGAGAAAACTTCTGCAATGCTCAAGGGTTATTTATATAGGCAGCGTGGCGTGCGAAATTTGGTGTAGCGCAACCGATTGCTTACCCGTGTACAGCGCAAACAGCTACGGAATCTAGTACAGAATCTACAGATAAGCGGGCATGCGAGTCACTTTGAAACGGTACGCAGTTATGTAAGGTGCAGCTAGAGGTGGGGCTGTGTTGAGCTAGCCAATCATAGGTTTATTGATTGTACGAGCGCGTATGAGAAGTATGATCATTAAGCACTCGTACGGTTGTAGTGCATACAGCCAGCACCGGTGACTCTACACAGACTGTGCAGACACAAACCATACCCAGTGACCGGTGAATCACTGCAAATCAACACCCAGAACTCAGTACTCGTACCATGGCAATGTATGCCATGGTACGAGTGAGTCATGTTTTCGGTTTTTGAACGAGGATTTTGTAGCGCTTTTAGGCTTTTATCTCAGCCTTCCGATCTTCCAGCATCCAGGTGCTATCCGTGTATACAGCAGCTCAAGACTGACTGCCATCGTGAGCTTTTCCGAATTTTGATTATCCGACTCATTCATTTGTGGAAGCGCTTATTGATTGCCTGACTGCATTTTTTAATTTTCCCTGGTAGTTGCATTACCTCCTGTTATAAACAATAATGGCCGCGACAGGTGTTAGCTTGCAGTCGTTGTATAATTCTGCCCCGGCTGAAATGCCTCAAGTGGATCCACAGGTGTTTGTTGGCAGCAAAATCAGCATCATCTCGAATTCCAATATCCGCTACGAGGGTATTTTGTATGCTTATAACGAGCAGAATGCGACGATTTCCCTGCAGAACGGTAAGGTCATCGATTTCTGTGTGTTAGTTGACCAGGTGTTTATGATTTCGATCTTTCAAGCATCAATTGCATAATGTTCGAAATCTGTATTAATAATTGGACCACGCGGGCACGCTTCGGTCGACCCCGGTTTTAAATATGGTTCATGATTGCAATTCATTCGATGACCTTTCTAATCTCTCAGATTTCTTGTGTGCATACGATTCCGTATATTCGTATTTTAATTCAGTGCGCTCTTTCGGAAGCGAGGACCGTCTTCCCCTTGAGAAAGCCGTGCAGCCCCCCAAAGACTTGTTCGAATACATCATTTTCCGCGTCACGGACATAAAAGATTTGGAAGTCTCCGAGCCACCAAAGGTCGACATGCCGCCACGTCCCCGCACCCGAAACAACTCTAACCCTGCCTGCGATCCGGCGATCGTGAAGGTACGGAAATCCCCGTAAATGTCATTTATAATCGAGATTTCTTTACTTGTTAGCATAACGGCATTGCGCACTTCAGCGCTACGCAATGTTCTTGAGAAAATGTCATTGGGAAATTTCCTGCAAAATTTAGAATTTAAATTATGGATCATACGGGTTATTAGTAGCACGCGCCATATTTGTACCTGACAGGCGGTTAATGGTTTTAATGTGTTAATTCGTTCGTAGTCTGCTGTTGCGAGTTCTGCGTCGGGTTCGGGAGGGGGAATGATGCAGAGTGCTGCTGCGCATGGAATGAGCAACAATGGGCCGGCGTGGCGTTTTGCGCCCAGTTACGCGTCTGGCGGCGCGGGTCATCCAGGCACCGGTGGCAACCGGCAGCTGCAGCAGCAAGGTATGAACTTGACCTTCCACCTATGTCATTGGAAATGTCTTGCACACCGGTCGGTCATTTGTGGGCTTTGGCAGGTGGGCGAGGCCGACGTGGACGTATGCGCCGCGGCCGGGGATGGGGCAGTCGCGGACCCAGCATGAATATGCAGGGCATGCTTGGTGGCGCAGGAGTGGGCCTCGGGGCTGGGCCCGGTGTGCGCCCTGGAATGATTAACCCGGCACAGCACGGTACGTTCAGCCAAAAAATTATTGGCAGGTGATTGTTGCAGTGTCTTGAAATCTTTCTATAATAAAGTTCCGATGTTTTTCAAAATCAAAGGCGTTTATTTATACATGCATGTTACAGTACAATGCAGTAGATATCTTCTACTCTACAGAGTAGTTTGTACTCTACAGAGGCCCTATAATTTCAAATCAAAAAAACTTCTAACAAAGCGCATAATTTTATCTGGTAAGGATATAGATTTATTTTGGATGGATAGTTTCTTAGGTTGATTAACTTTTAAAGTTTCGTTGTGTGCCTGTAGCCTAAGCTCACGGTGATTTGTGCTGATAATTGTTCTTTTTTCCAGTGAAATTGTTGAAAGAGTACCAGAATGTGGTGCCGCCAGTTTCCGGATCAGCTGCAGAACCGCTAGATACGAATCTGGATCTGGAATCATTCTCAACCATGGCTCAGAAGTTCGAAATTATGGACAAAACTGGACAGGCTGGCTGTAAGTACACAGTGCAGTGCAGTTGCAAGCACGTTTCTTTAAGATGAATAATTTTTTTGAATTTTGCTGTAAGTTTTGCGTATTGTTCTGAATTACCGTTTCTTGTTTTTAGTGAGCGTTGGAAATTTGCTCGCCGGTTCCATTGCGGAATCTAATGCCACTGGCGGGAATACTGCGGTGCCTGTTCCCGAAACGGATCCCAAGAAGTATTATAATCCGGATGATAACTTCTTCGATAAGATTAGCTGCGAAGCTCTGGATCCAAATCAAGGGTAAGACGGGTTCCGATTTCTTTTTCAGATAAGCGTTCGTGGTTTACTGTAAGCAGCAAATATAGTTACTCCTGCGTATTCGCACAGTACAACAGTTGTTATTACAGTGTGCAGCCACGCAACTGGCGCCGTGAAAACCAGTTGAACAATAATACTTTTGGCCGTCCACCGCGCTTTAACGCCGGCAACAGTTGGAATATGGCTGGCAACAACTGGAATGCAGGAGGTCGTGGTCCCGGAGGCAATTTCGGATACGGAGGACAGGGTCGCGGCGGGAATCGCCGCGGTGGTGGACGTGGGCAGGGCCGTGCCGGCATGCGGAATAACAACCGCGGACAATGGAATAATCAGCAGCAGAGCCAATGGAATGGCCAGTCGGGACAGTGGAATACTCAGCCGGTGAGATGCTGATGAAATTATCGCCTATTAAGCTTAATAACCTTCTCATTTTGCATAATTATTTTTTTCACTTGTTTCGTGGTGTTGTTTAGCAGGGTCAACGCCGACAAGGCGGATGGGGCGGCAGTACTAGCTGGAATCAAGGCCGCAGCAACGCCGGATGGAACGATGGGAACACCAGCGGTCGTCAAATGCAACGAGGTGGCTGGAACCAGAGCGGACAGCCTGGAACGATGAATAACTGGACACACGGACCAGTGCCGCAGCAAATGCAGATCCAGTCGCAGCCAACCGGTACGTATGCGTATGCCGTCCAGCTACTTATATACTTACATTTGCTGTATAAATATGTTTATGTAAGTACATAAGTTGATCAATCAGTTTGTAAAAAACTTTGATTTAGAATTCTCGTATATGGGTAGTACTATTGTCTGTTGATTAATCTTCTGTGTTGTTTGTTCGTTATTTTCAGCCGGCACTCAGCAACAGCCGCCGCTGCGCGGCCGCGGACGCCGTGGAGGAATGGGCGCTGGACGGCAGTGGGTGGGCAGCATACTGCCACCGGCGGCCAAAGAAGTGCTGCAGCAGCAGCTGACCCAACAGCATGTGGTGGCCCTGGGTGAGCCTCGAGGCGAATTGCCGACGGATGGAAAATTGGCCATGGTCGAGTGGACCTTCCCGGTCGATATCGGCAGCGCTGCGGCCGATCTGCAAGCTACCCGGGATGCAGCGGGATCGTCCAACAAGGAGAACAGCGACTACGATATCATTGGTGCGACTTCTCCTGATCAAGCGGAACGTTGAATTTTATTTGCAATCATATCATTTTGAAATGTTTTTCCTCTTGGTTGATGTTTAGCTGTTTTCTCGTTTGTCCCATTTGACCCGTTTATCCCAATGCGTATTTCCATTAGATCATAACTGTTGTGCGCGCCGAAGATCGTTACGATGCTTTCATTGGTTCCCGGTTTTTACATAGTGCATAAGCAATGGCAGCGACTGTCTTTCTAACATAATTTTATTTCCATGAATGTTGAACTTCATGCTTGTTGAAAAGCTGGTTTATCCCGGAGTTGTAAATTGTAAGTCCAAATAAACTGTTTGCATGGACTACGGTTTTCGTGCTTTGAAAAAAAAATCGCCGATAGTTTTATGTATCGCGCTAATGTATGCCGCTATCACATCAGATTTCCAACGTAAGCAACGAAGCCTAACAGTCACAGTACAATTCTCTCTACAATTTCTGTGTTGAGTAGAGTTACCGTAGACGCATTGGGCACAGTTTCCATTGAACTGATTTTATACAAAATTTCAGTGGCTTCTGTATCGGACTGACTTTAAAAAAGTAAAAGAAACTGCATAATTACGTAAGTTATTCTGCAGACGATTACAACAAACTGAACAAAGTTATGAGAATCGCATTCCAAATAATCAGTGTTACAAATTCTTTTACAAAATTCAAGAATTAGTACTTGTCCTCGTCATCGTCGTCCAGCTGGGCACGCCGCCTGTCAAACTACAAACAGCAAAATCCTTCATTTATTTACGTTGCTAAAAGTATGGCGGCAAACAACTGCAGGGGCTACTAAAAACTGGAGCAAATCAGAAAAGAAAAGTCATTCATTTTAAATTAATTTATCATTAAACTGTAGACGTTTACAACGCAAAACAAAAACAAAAAGAGATCATTCAAAGTACAAACTCACTGAGAAAGTTCTTACGGTACTTACTGCAACTAAAATTACAAGATAATTGATTAACGTAAGCAGCTGAATAAGTGCATGAAGGGATAACAATGACATCCTCAACAATAAACGACAAGCTAATAAGTTGTCAAAATGGGCAATGGACGCGAAAAAAACTTGGGAAAGAAAACCTTATAAAGGGGACAACAGCAATCAAAAAAACGTGCAATCAGAATCAGTAGCGCACCTTGACAGTGGTGGTGGTTTTGGTCTGCTCCTGGACCTGTGACAGAATATGCTTGAACTGGTCTTCCGAGAGCCGACTGCCGATCTGGCCCCGAGTGGCCATTTGTATCACCATGTTTTCAATCATTTTGGCTTTTTCTGGTTTAGCCAATGCGATCGTATTCACTGCAGAGCAAGCCAAGCAATTTTATCAGTCACTCTGACTCATATCAAGGAAGTATATTTCCAAATTTAAAAAAAAAACCAGCAGAAGCTGGTCAACGGAAGGGAAACTTTAGCAAATGCTTTCTTTGATTAAAATAAAAACTCCTTTAAGAAGCGTGCACCTAACAAACGAATGCGCAAAGATAGGTATTAAATTCTTGACTTTATCAGTGAACCACTTTACGTATCACCAGCTCCACGCTTCGCCTTCATAATAATAATGATTTTTAATTTAACTCTTCAATTCAAGAAATGATGTTGGCTTCACATAGTACTGGTCTTAAATTATAAAAATAATCCACTTAACGGCTAACGTTAGTTTCTGGCGCGAGACTGAATCAGTAATACCGCGCATCAAAAATGTTACGATTTTTCTTGGAATCAGAAAAACTGAAAATAATCTGTCAACTTACAGCGCGCTCGGGCTGACTGATCGAGAACCTGGGCCAGGATTGCGTTTCGCATTTCTGCTTCCTGCTTCTTTTGCTCCTCCGCATTCCGTCCCTGATCGTTTGCGCCCGTTTGACCTGGACCCACCTTAAAAAACAATAAACTCAAAATAATCCAACAGTTAAAACTTCGACGACGCGCTGGATTATGAACAATCACATTTTTAGCGACAACAGCTTCACCTGCGGATTTTGCCTCAGCTGTGCCATTCGTTGAGCTCGGATAGCTTCCAAATCGTCATCCATGGCTTTTCTTAAATTGGGCGATATTCTGATTATTTATTTTTGATAGTTGTGAATTGTGATGGCGTTACGACATCCAAATTACGACATCAAAGACACTTAATTTATGTCATATAAAAAATTTATAATTATATTATTTTTTGATTTTGGTAAGTTAAATTAAATTACTGCAGTCGTACTGATTGTGAAATTCACATGTTCTGATTTCGCAGTCAGTTTTCTAATGAGACCGTCTACCGGCGCGGTAGCCACCGGAAATCAAATTTGCACTTTCTATTATTTTGCGCATCATGGATTTACAGTTACGTACATGTACGTTACAGTCGTTACTGTATTTATGTAAGTATTAATTGTATGTTCTGCTGTCGCCTGAGGCTGTGGAATTGATACATCCTTATTATGATAGAAAAAGTATTACTTATCTGTAAGTAGTACTTATCTGTAACTAGTAAGCCAATAATTTTTCCAAAAATATGAATGGGAATTACGGTATCAAATGCATTTCGACGCGGCATTTTAATTAGATAAAAAAAACTGCAAAATTAATACAAAATTACTGCAAAATTATAAGATGTATTTTAAATTACTGCAAAATTATTAGATGTATTTCAATCCGTGCAGAATTTTCTGAGAGAAAGTTAAGTACAAGTGCAGCTTGCAACTACATTTTTTTACAAAAATATTTATTTATTTGCGTTATGAGAACCAAAATTTTACACAAACTCTACATAAATCGTGAAAAACTGAAAACACAAGCGCGCTACACGGCAACATCTACAAGCACAGACGGGCGGATAACTACATTTTTGCTTTGTGTAAGTACATATGTATTACAGAAAGATTTTGTATTACAGTATTAGCACTGTTGTGTCTGTAACGATAACGTTTTCTGATGAAGTTATACGCTGTTATCATTATATCAGTCATAATTATGTGTAATCTGTTAATGATAATAAAATTCATGAGGAATTTGCAATCAAAATAATACTTACTCATCCAGTCATCATCAAAAACATAACAATAGGCCTATCTTGCGGGTTTTTGTGGGCGCCAGTTGGAGACGGTGGCCGATAAATGATAGCGGCACATCCAGCCGCCTGCACCGGGGCGGAGTCCACTTATTCTCCTGCCATTTAACTCGGCTGTTCATCAAAAGAATTTATCAGCAGTTCATATCGGAAAACTTGCCTCGCTCCAGGATACTTTCTACCCTGTTCTGCCTTCTGCAGTGCTGCTTGGCTTGTCCCAGAAGAAATTCGCTTGGGTTGTTTAGTTATCAGATCTGCTGCTCAGCGTTAATGTTCGACGATTATATTGCCGTTTCTGTTAACTGCTGCAGCAGATTTCTGTTAGCTCATTACAGTACTGTACTTACTGGTGATTGCGTCGGGGACATCGTAAATGCGGTAATAATAACTGGGGCTATTCTCTGATCACTGTGGCCTGTGGGAGTTCGGAATTTAGACTGCTTTTAACTGTTCTTGTCATGTTTTATTTAATTTTCGATACGGAGAACTGAGACGCAGGGAACAAGATCATTAGAAAAAACAGGTAACAAAAACAGCAATAACTAGTTTCGAATGAATCCGGAGACAGTTGTCGGGATTATCAGCATTCCCTCCAGGATCGCTGCCGTATACGGAAGGAATTTGATAGTAATATTTTTGTTACTGTACAGTACTGTACTATTCCGTCAGTATTTCGGTACCATGCGGAATCGCCTGTAGGTTGTAGGTACCAGTTCTGAAAACAGTTTTGCATTCTCGACTGGAGTAAATTTATTAACATTCAGTAGCGTGAGCGTCGATCCGGTAATAGCTTCAGAGCTTAGTCAGGGAATTTTCTTACCTTTAGAGTTTAGCAGCGTAGCTTTTATGGGCAGTTTTGCGCTGTTGTGTCGGCCACAAAGTCAAACTGTCCGGCAACAAATTGTTTGCATCTGGAACTTGATCAGCTGCTCGGTGCAGGTGCGCAAATCAGCTGATTGGCCTGCAATAATATGTGTGACCTCATTGCCCTGATTGCACTGTTGGTCCGTACTCGTACAGTACTTACGTGCTGATTTAATAGTGAATTTGAGGTTTAAAATGCTTTACCATAATTATATAGTTACTGCTATGTAAACGTACTTACTACAATAGTTAGTAGTTACCTAAGTATTAATCAGAACACTTTAAATTTATCCATACGCGTACACTTTGTCCAGGTTCCGTCCGACTCCCTCTAAATGTAAAAAGTTGAAGCTATAGTATTAAAACTTCCGGCCGGCATCGAGTGCAACACAGACTAACTTTATGTGCAGAGTGTTCTCTGTTAATACGGGTTAGTATAATTGCTACTTGTTTTTGCTCCGCCCGAAGAATTGGAAAATAGTACAGACAGTTTGAAACCATCAGAACCCTGACATTTTGAACGCTTATAAAGCGGCGGTGTTCTCGAATAGATATGCCAGAATGTAAGCAAATTTTCTTTCTCCACAGGTCCCTTTCTTCCTCTGGACTGAATCAACAGTTTAAGGGAATACGCTCCCCGTGCCGAAGCCAAACGGAAACATTCGCTAATTTGACCACTCACTATTGCGCGTTGGCGTTGAAATTCCCGCCTTCATACCCGTATTTCACAACGTTAGCTCCGCCCGCCTGCGTAGGTTGTAGTTCTGTCTGGCCCGCATTCTGTAAGAGCGCCGCACAACCCTGTCTGGCTTCAGTCACTAAGCAATCGAGTTGTACGAGTTCGTACAACAACAACCATCCACGCTACTGGGCCACTGGCTGAGTTTTCCATTCAGCAAAGCAAACTGCCAAAAAAGAAATCGGCTGCATTAAACCGACCCAGGCGCTGGAAAGAGAACGGTTTATCGCTCCATTCTCTCGTTGGCGTGTGTCGTGTTTTTTCCCTTCTCAGCTTTCCTGCCACATTTTTTACCCATTTTAACTTGTTATCTGTTACGGAGCTCTTTATCTGCGCTGGACTGCGTTTTTTGGACAGCACAGTCTTTGTTTTCCGTTGTGACTTTCGTCGGATCTGTACCTTTATTTTAACATAACTGGGAATTTTGTCAATTGCGCTATCATGCCGGACGCCCGATCCGCGTGGTTGCAGCCGGAGCAGATGGGCAGGACTGCCCGTGACTGGTCGGACATCACCAAAGGCGCCTCCAAGCAGTTCCTCCCCACCCACCACCATCATCAGCACCATCTCCAGAACCTCCAACACCAACAACGCCTGTTGGCCAACGGGATTCTGGCTGTATTTCCGGTGGTGCCCGTGATGATCGTCCCCACTCCTTCCCATATGCGCCACACCAGTCAGCCTCACCATCAACACCCGGCTGCCTATAAGTACAGGGAAGTCAAGCAGGCCCCGTCAGGGGTCCTGGGAGTGGGCAGCTCTATACGCCATTTCGGTGGGACTCCGTGGAGGGATCCCGCCAGGAGATACAACTCGGGGATCATCGGGTAAGTCAAAAGTCCATTGACTGCTCAGAAATTTTGTCATTTTTTGGAGAATTCTTCGCTCGCTATATGGCGTATACTTTTCTTTTGGAATTTCAGCTTGCCCAGTTTTCTTGCATAATATCGTCCTTTGTGAAGAAAAATCCCTGGTTAAGGTCTTCAAATTCTTGAAACTTTATTTGTTCCTGATTTCTGTTAACAATAGGATGTTTTGCATATTAATATTAAGTTTTATTCTGCTGCTTATTTGATTTATTTCAAAACTTCAGCCAGAATTTCAGCTTGTTTGTAAGAATTCAAAGTCGAGTTTTACTGGACTGGTGCAAGTATAACTTAATTTCTCGATTTTAATTACCAAATCATTTTGTTCAGTTTCATCTGATTGCGTTGCGTAATTTATTTGCTGTTCGATTGTTTAACGCAGCTTTCCTGTTCAGTGGATATTCTGCGTATTCACAGTAGCTGATCAAAGTTACGATAAATTAGGCCACATTATTAGTTATTCGGTTATTTACCAAGTTATTCCGCAGTATACAAACAATACTGATGTTTTTTCTATCGCTCCAGTGTGTGGGCTGGGCTTCTTGCCGAATGCCGAATTGCTTTTTGGCCAATTCATTTCGGTTTTCTCGTTCAAACTACGGCGAGTCGCCTAAACCAGCAAATCAAAATATTTTAAATGATTTGCTGCTTGGGTTACGTATTATTTCTGTTAGGGCCTGTGGGGCCGTTCGGTAGGTATGAAAAATGGCTCAATCATTACCAGAGATTTACTGAAATGCGTTAAAAATTACTGTACAAAAACATTCGAGAAGGTATGAAATTCTGGGCTTTTCGGAAAAACGGCAAAACTGCCAGTATTATCATATGCAACACCTAAATTGTGTTTACTTTGAACGCACTGTAGTTGTCACTTTTAATCGCACCGCGGTTTTTGAATTGGCATCCCCGAAAAATGACTTCTCCTCGTATACGGGCCGTGCTCCTTACCATTAGTCTTACGCTTAACACATTAATCCTATTTTGTCTAGCTTGCGTTTTTACAGATTGATATCTGTATTAAAGTGTGTTTCGAATGAAAATGCATGTCATATGCAACGAAATTAAGTATTCTACTGCAAGTTGTATCAATGTTATGCCATGGGTAATACTGAATTACTGTACTGATAGAACTGTTAGCCCGTTACGAGTAGTAAGAATGTTTTTGAAATGTCACGTTATTCGCTTTCTTCAGATTTATTGGCGCGACACGAGTATGGAGTAATATTTAAGGTTTCATCACGTGCCAAGTAGTTTTGTAAATTTTGTAACCTGTGGGATGATTTTTTGCTGGCTTTGGTTGGTTTTTTCTGCTGTTGTATATCAATGGGGCTAGAATTCCTTCCACTAAGTCGGTGCGGTAAAATGTGTAATATAATTTTGGTGCTTATCATGTGCACAGTGCAGACGGGCATTTTCTCGCTTACCAAATCAAAACGATTATATTTTCCTGATCGGAAATGGCATTTCTAAGATTTCTACACTATATAAGAACACGCTACTGACTGGGTTTGAAAATATTTGGGCCTGATTTTGCACGATAATTATCATGGCTAATGATATGTGACCAACGTTTTTGCTTGATCCAATATACCCACCGGCAAAACCAATGAGGAAAATTGTTACTTTGTTGTCAGAGCTGTTTTTTCGCTTGTTTAGATGGAATTAATTTTAGGTTTTAGCGTGTGTTCGTTAAAAAGCAGGCTGCGGCCTAATTTCCCAGCGAGACAACGTCGGAAACGAAAGTAAAGTAAAATAAACACGAATACATGTTCAATATATTTGTGGAGCGTCCATTATAATATCCATTTTCTGTGTAAGATACGTAAAATGTCCGACAGTGCGTTTTCAATGATTATGGATAATTTCATTTCCGATATCATGTGCTGCAGTATTATGATGGTTAGCAAGAATTAGCAAGAAGGGTTGAAATACCTTTACTTAGTGCAAAAATGACAAATTCATGACTTAAATGGGTTGTTCACTTTGTCCTTATCGACCTTATGTAATGAATTCAAGGTTGGAGAAAAAACAGCCTGGTTTAATTTTGCAGGCACATTTCTTTCTGGTAATAGATTAATGGAGAAAATGGGGAAATCCCTTTGTCGGTCAGCTTGGTGAGACTTGAAGTTGGGCCAGCCTGGATACCGAACCGCAAACAGATCGGTTCTCTTTTGAAGGAAACTTATCGGAAATCTGTATCGTTAGATAATTAGATTCTATCACCATAAATGTCTTCTTTGAAAATCGCTTAGAGCAGCGATACCGGAAATTGTGTTACCCTTTCCGATATTACGGTTATTACGAAATTTCTCCGTGAACCATGTCAATGTACAGTACTAAAAAAATAGTTTTCGTGACTTAGTTTTGGTGAATTTAACATACGATTGCCTTGCTATAGTATTACTTTATTCGTTACACTTTATAATTTTTACATTGGTATCCGGAAAATTTGCATATTTATGACAGATCTAACGCTGGTTTTTCGGTTTTCCAGTAGAGTGGTTGTTAGATTGGTATTGTTCATCGGATAAGATCGTTCGAGAGGCAAACCGAGTGCACTGTCGAGCGAACACACACGACGGCGTTTGTCTTTTTAGATTGGAAGACTGAATGAATGATGTTTGTTAAATTAGGAAAAAATCCAACAATTCTCAATTGCGACCTCCTTACAAAAAGCGACCCGACCCCTTATGCAGACACACACACACGCACTCTGTGGTAGATTGAGTTGGATAATGAAGCGCTTCATTTTTCAATTGAATGTTGGATGTGGATTGTTTTGCGCGGTTACTTACCTATTATTGAAAATCTATCATAAATTCGCAGAAAATCGATATGTTTGTGACAGTTTGTAAATGAAAGTTATGTGGAAACCAGTACCGCTGTGTTTTAATTCTGATGAACAGTGTTATGACTGCTATCATTTCACGAATGGTATTTTGTGGTAGAAAAGAGGGTTGTGAAATGTTTGGGTTAATTCGCAAATAATTGCAGGCATGTTGTTCAAATTTATAGAAATTAATGTTGGTTAGGCATCATAATTTATTAATCGAAGTTTAAAACGTACGATTTGGTTTGGTTTGGTTACAATAAAGATACAGTAAGTGACTTACATTTGGATTTTTATGTTAAGGCTCGGTCGTTTGTTTTATTTTTGATTTTAGTATCACAGAACCCTTGTAATGATTTCTGTTGCCTCAACTGGATGATATATCGCGTTATATATTTGTTTTAGTGGCTGGTTCGCGCACAACTACTGGAAAAAATGAAAGAATCGTAAAATTTTTTGAAGATTTCGAAAATGTTAGAAAAAGCGCTTGTTGCCCATGTAATCGCATACGGGCGGTCGTATTGGGCAGGGAAACTGGTTAGCGCGTTGTTTGTATTTTTTTCTGTCAATAAATTGACCAGTGTGAGTAAGGTCAAAAGACAAAGTCGTTGATAATAAAGCTGCATCGGCTGGCCAGCGTTAGCGGTATAATGTCCGTTGCTATTGTGATTAATTAATGCTACGGACGGCGGACCTTTTCGTTAAAGACTGCGTAATTATCTCTGTCAGGGTTTGAAGGATTTTCGCTTAGGAGAAAATAGGGCTGTGGCGCCGATGAAATTCGACACTGGTGGAACTGGATGCATTGTAGTAACTGCAAACGGTGAAGAAGAGACACAAAACAGCCTGATGCCCTCTTCCCCGTAGAAATCATTCAATAAGTTCGATTAATTTTGTCCATAATACAGTAGGAAAACATAATTTACGGTTTAACTGATTTTGACGAAGTAGCTTGCGCAGGATAGACACAGTGTTCGCAAACATATCGAAAACTAGCAGTTGTTTTTTTACTATCATTTTTCTGGCAATTTCGTTGTCATAATTCAGCAAAATGTTTATGTGTTTCATGAAGTCCCTCTTCCCCGTAGAAATCATTTATTAAGTTCATTCGGAAACAACAACGAAAACAACCAGCCGCATTCGGAGATCTTTCAGTTTTCCTATCAATAAAAATGCCTTTTTTATTAAAAACTTTTCAAATTTTTGCTTACTTTCAGTTTTTATTTCTGTTGTTGGGATATTTGGGGCGCTCGAACAGCGTAATAAGTTCATCACCAGCGCGCCATTATTTTTGTGTAATTTGTAGAGAAAAGGTCAGTTATTCAGTGGTAATTGTGGGCAGATTGTGGCTAGTAAATGGTAGGATGTTACGCGGAAAATGTCAGACTTGATAGCACTGGGATTTGCACACTTCCGGTGGCGTTTGTTTTCCGGTGCTGTGTACGGTACGTGGATCAATATGCTACGCGCGATGGACGCCAACCATATGGTGCTCTGACATTGTGAATTGATCCAAATTGCTTGTGTCAAGGTGTATAGGGTCTATCCTTTACACCGTGCTTGTGTTGCTAACTTGTATTGGTCAACTATGATGATTTTTACTAGAGTAGAAATTTCTGCTAATATTCCGACTTTTGAATAAGCTCAACGGCACTCGTTCGGAACTTTTTAATCCAATACTGGGCAAAAATGGTTTGCTTATGAGCTACTGTAGTAGAAAATGTTTGTTACCCTGCTTTGACTAAATACATTACCGCAGAATTAAGCGGTTTCAAAAGGCGTGCTGATCGAATTTTTAGTTTTTAGTTTAAATTAAATGTAAGTAAACGGAATTGACAGTTTTTTAGTAACTTCGATGATGAAATGCGAGCCTACTGTGCGTGCCTGGCTGGTATTCTGTGCGTATTAGTGCAGCCCGTTCGTCCGAAATAGATGCTGTATAATATGGTGGTGTCTGGGGATTTTTTTACACACTCTACTGACAGTGAGTAGAGTCGAGACGACTACGATTAGTACACTACTGGTTATTACTGGTTAGTAACTGCTGTATAGGCTTATTGTTAGTTTCTCGTAAAAAACTGAAGTATATTTCAGTCTGCCATCGAGCAGCGCTGTCTCAGCGCATCACTTAAAACAAGATGAACGGCATGCAAATGTCCTGATTAGCCGACGTTGTAGGACGCAAACGATTTTGGGAACGCCTGCTGACTTTAAAGCCGTCATTTCCTCACTCCCGTGTTTTCCGTATTTTTTTAACATGATGAAGTTTTTGTAGAAGTATTTCATAGGACAAAATTGAGCTGAATTTCAGGGAACAACTGCATTTCTGGGTCAGATTCCTGAGATTGGTGACCAAGTGTTGTATGAGTTCTGCAACTTGTGTGGATTTCATAGTAGAAATAACTTATATACCTAGATGCATTAAAAATAACCTGTCTGCACATTTTTAATTTTGAATAAACGAAGCGGGAGATGAAAGAACAATTTTTCAAACATAGACAGATTGTATTTTGAGGTTTCGGTTTATTAATGCTCGAAAATTCTTTCGCGTTCTGAGTTAACTTTTTGTGCTGGTTTAAAAAGGAAACTTTTTAAACTGCGTTTACAGCCGGTGACCGTCTTTTCTCATATGTTTTGGTGTTCGAGTACAGAATGGAGCTGGCCAATTTTGTCCTTCCGGTTGTGATATGTTGAAGTGATTAGGATCCGCGCATTTGCTCTCTGGTCAGGGTTCATCAGTTATGGTATCATCGTTTATTGGCGTCTGCATTTGTTTGGATTGTTTGGGCTCTTTACCGGTCCGTAGTCCATAATTGGCCGGTGATTGTACGGTAATTGCAGCGCTTATTTACCCACGTACTCGACTGTTGAAGTTTTATCCCAGCGCTGATATTCATTAGCATTTTCCATTCATTTAACTATAGATTCGCTTGAAACTGTGTCCGCCCGTTTCTGGTGCTGGTGGTAAACTGAATTGATGAAAATTAAAGTGCGAAGTTGTCATTCTTTTTCTTTGTGACAGCTGACATTTTTAGAAAATCAGTAGTCTGTACAATACGCTTGATCAATAGCTGAGAAACTTTAAAATTAGGTAGAATAAATTAGTGTTTTAATTTTGTTTTTTCTCATTAGCCATTTGGCCAAAAATCTTTGCTTTTCTGTGAATAACTTCTGACATTTGTGCAAATGTTGATATAAATCCGCAATGTTGTCGCATAATTTCTCTCGAAGTTGGTTGATTTAACCATTTGATTAGCTGCTATTTTTATGCTGAGTTGGGAGAAAATAATAGCGAATGTCAGAATCTTTGGAGTAGCATTAGTGGATGAGAGTGGCATTATTTCCGGTACGCCGGGTACGGTAATGCTACATCTGGACGCAATCGATTAATCTGTTGACAGTTTGGCGTCATCGGGTGTTGATAGGGAAATCGGTTTATTCCTTTCGTACGAGTAGTCATGTCCGGCAGCTATGCCGATAAGGCCAAAAAGCCCTGAAATCAGAAGTCAGCCAGGAAATGATTGCAAGACGCTTCTGACATCAAGCCAATTGGTGCAAAGCGATTTGCGTTTAATTTGTATCTGTACCTCGTAAAAAGGAGAAAAGTTTTCAAAAAATCAACTGCACTGTGCACACTGCACTGAAGAACGTAAATTTGCTAAAGTTAATATATTTTACGAAAGATAAATGTACGGGTTTTGTAAATTTGTTAGAAAAGTCTCTGAGTGTTAAATTTGGTAGATTTGATTTGGAAATGGTTTTGAGAAAGAATTTCCGGATTTCGTTTCTGTCCTGTTGTCCTGAGTATTTTGTTTTTGTTTAGCGTGTAGTTAGAAATTTTATGGTAACCTGGGGCCCTGGAGGGGACAACAAGTCACGAAGTAATATTATGGTGTTTTAAAAAAATTATTAAGGCAGAATAATTTATACGAGGCGGCGATCACGTAATGGTTGCATCGACGACCATATGGTGGGGGTTGTTGTTTGCGGTAGCGGAAATGAAATGGAATAAGTGTTAGGTCAAGTTTGATTGAATGGATCGCTGGCTTGTGTTGTGTTGATGCGGGAAGAAAAGGAGGTTGGCTCTGTGCGATGTGCGCGTGGCTGTCGCACCCAGTTGTCGGTTGACGTGATCGGGGGATTTGATTAGCGCTCCATTTACGCTGCTGCACCGTCCCTCAGTTGCGAATCCCGGGCATGTTCGCTTCCGGTGTGTGTAATTATGTGCGTGTGGCGGGATTTTTGAGGACAGGATGCGGCTTTGCTGGCTGAGAACAAGGCCGACGGACGTAATGCCTATGTGATAGGTGAAAGTTATTAGTTTTCCAGTGGAGGCTGGTTATAGGTTGGCGTAATTACACCGAAAAATGTCAGGGGCACGGGACGAGTGTCGGCGAACAAGAAAATTAATAATTCAGGATTACATTGAAGGTTATTTTAATATCGATAATTAATTGGCTTATTCTGCAAGTATCGAATGAAAATGTCGTATAATACATACGAGTATACAAACCACTGAAACCAATACTTACTAAATTTCGAGAAATCTTGTTTTTACGTACGTAATCGTTAAGCGGTGCGTTAACCGGTTTAATGGATTGGTAAAATTTTGTGAATGCTTTTACGTTACGGATTTAAAAGAATTAATTCAAGCCGAAGTTTTTATCATTATCTACTACTGCGTACTGCGCTTTCTTATTTTTAAAATTAATTTTTCTTTTCTTTGTCTGTTAAGGGTTTATGTTTCGGTAGGCATAATTGCTGTCGTTAACAGTTCTCTATTATGATATCCACCGGAAATAAGGATGAAGGAAAATTATTTGGTCAGTGATTTGTGCACCATCACGTTGATAGGTCGTATGTACTATGTACATAATTATGTCTATTAGGTCTATGACCAAAAATACTTTTTTGAGTTTTGATGCGTTGGGAACTTGGGAGCTGTTTTAGATTTTATTGTTAACTTACGAAATGGTCCGGCGACGTCTCTTTGTGAATGTGTTTGCATTCTTCTTAGTTGCACTGGAATAGCGCTTGTTGCATACGTGATGCGTTGCGTAACGAAATAAACGTGTCACAGAAAGTTGATCGGCAACAACGGCCGCGTCACTACCTCATTTTTTTTGCGCTTATTGGTATCGTTTTTTGACATTTTGCCTCCGGGAAAACATTTTGCTGTTACCGAGTTTGGTTTGAAGGTTAAGGTTGCCACATTTTTTAGTGTACAGTACTGAATTAATTTTGCTTAACAGTAAGCATAAGATTTAATTCATTTATAGGGTATAAAATAGCATAGAGGTATATTACGTACTGCATACGCTTTTAGTGACAAAGTACAGTATTAAAGCTAAAAGTGAGTTAGCAGTAGTTAGCACCGAAGTACTTAGCACATTTATTACTTACTTTTGGGCCTTTGGCTAACTTGCTGCGGGTGTTGTGTATCTACAAGCAAGACTTTAGCGATGAAATAAAGATTTCTTGCGTGTTATACAAACGCGACCCGGGATACCCAGCTTTTAGCTGTAGACCTGTAGTTAAATTGATATGTTTATTATTTTCCGTCATAGTCATCAAATTTTGTTTCGCCATACCGATAAACATGGGTTTGTCTAGCCGGAAGAACGTGAAATTTAGGTGATAGTTTGCAAATGCCGAGCTGAGCAGAAAATGCCCGCTTGTGCCGACGTCATAACTCGATCGAGTTTCTGTGCGTTGTTCGCTGGAAAGCAGGTGTTATAATGCAATGATGGTCGGTTTTTAAGTGGCAATAACTGCAAAATATGCGGGAAAATTTGTGGTGAAATGGCAGATAAAAATCAAGTACCGCAGGCTTCCTGGAGGTTCAAACAGCACGATCTGATTTGTTTGACGCTTTTGTGCGGCGAAATAATAGATCTTCACGCAACGGGGTGTGGACTGGTGACTGTATGAAAACTGTGTTGAGTGAATTTGTTTTATTGACTGCATGAGACTACAAAACACTATTATACGCTGGGAAAATACCGCGTAAAAAAATGCGGTTATTAAAAAAGTACATGAACAGATGCAGAAGCAGCGCTGAAAGTTGACTTTCGTGTTGAATTACATTGCTTATTACGTGATTACTTTATTTGAAAAGTTGCGTAGATAGTAGATACATAAGCCATACACTGTTGAAAGTTGAAACTAACATTTTGTATAGATATACTACTGTTTTCATTGAACAACCATAAGTGAAGGGGGTGGTTGTGATTGTGGCATTTTATGTTTTGAAATGCGTTGGGCGTAAAAGAAATTTGGTTAAAATATTTTATACGCCAACGTGCATTTTATTAAAAAGTGGGTATTATGGAAAACTGTTGCATGGAGTTTCTTAAAATTTTTCAGATAATGTCATTTATCTTTATCACCTAATGACTGGGAAGAATTTCGGATCTTGGTAGTGTGAATTTAATCCGCGATTCTATTTAATTAATATGAAGAGGTGAAAAAGTCGATAATAAGTATTTATGGATTGTCACATGCAAATCTGTGATTTTTGTCCGTAGGCTGCACGAGGAGATCGAAGATTTCTATGTATGGATGTCACCGACTGCCAGTGAGCGGCGGATGCGTCAGGATCTGGTCGACCGCATTAGTGGCGTCATCAAAGAAAAGTTTCCCGAAGCCACGGTATGTAGAGCGCGAGATGCCGAGCGGCATGTGGAAGATGATTTGGCGAGCGGCGGCCGAAGAAAAGCCGGTTACATATGTGTGCGCACACATGGATGCGGTAACACTTTTTGGCTGTCGTGATGTATAGTGGTTGGCGCACTGCCATGCGGGACTTATTGTCGATCACGGGACGCAGCATCGCATTAATGCGAAGAAAAAAATGGGGAGCTTTTTCTAGGGAATTAGGATGGATTTTTACGGGCAGAAGAAAAAGCCACTTTCTGTGGATTGGTAATCCGGAGTTATATAATTGATGAGGCAATTTTTATGTGTCAGTTTCCAATGATTTTAAAGAACTACTCTGGTCGTAAATTTGAATATCGCACGTATGTCAGACATTGGTTTCAATTTACATTGGCTTGCGGTTTTACTCCTTAAGATTACCAACCATACTTCTACTTCGCTTTATAATTTTGGTAAGATAAAAGACATAATTATGCTAGGCTGACGGATACTGTGTTAATCACTGACTTCGCTCAATTATTTATTACCTACATCTGTGATGAAAACTTGTTTAGAAGGAACTTCTCCTAAATTTCCGTGTTGGTGTATTTCTTAACAAGTTCAAAATTGTTGGCATGCGAGTTTGTCTATGAATTCGGCAGCTATTCGATTCCTTGAAAGAATCCGTGATGGGTCAGCACCCAGGTTTACTAGAAATTAACCGTTAGAATTTCAGCTAAAACTGATAGTAATTGTAGCAGCACGTTGGCGTCATCAGGCAAGGAAATAGTGATCAATCAGTTCTGTAAATAAATCAGTGGACATTAATGGGAGCTTTGATAATAAAAGCCGAATCGGGCGTGTGTGCCGCGTAACCCAGAAAAACAATGACCGGGTTCGAAGGGAATAGGGCAGAGTGTGTAATTATTGAGTATCCAGTGTCTGTCTGTGATTGACAAGTGAACTAATCGAACGTTGTGCGAGTGCTGTTGACTGGGTCGTTGGCTGGGTACTAACTGATTAGCTGACCGATGTGACTGGCTGCAGGTGGACTACTTTGGCAGTTTCCGGACGGGTCTCTTCCTGCCAACCAGCGACATCGATATGGTGCTCTTTGGCAAATGGGAGGACACACTGCCGCTCCACGCCATCCACCAGTCCCTCATTGAAGCCGGTATATGTACGCCGGACGGCGTCAAGGTCCTCGACAAGGCTTCCGTGCCCATCATTAAAATGACCGACCAGCACACGGGTGTCAAGGTGGGTAATTAATTATTTGGTGCGAAAGGGATTTTTGTCGGATTTCTTTCGAAGAAAGTTACTCGGGATTCGTTTAATTGATTCTGGACTGATATTTTTATGCTGAACATTTACTATGGTAAATCGGTAAAATAGAACATAACTATCTTGAAGAACAAGGCCAACTTTCATTGACTTTCGACTTCGATATTTATCATATTATTTTATAGTGACTGCTTGGCAAATTGCCGACATCTGTTCGATTGTATCTGGCTTTTGATAATTAGTGAAATTATTTTCATGCCTTGTTCTGGACCAGGAAGAGTGTGCCTTTGAATAATGATAGTGTTGCATAATACGAGTAGTACGTGGATTGGTTTGTGATGCAGGTAGACATCAGCTTCAACATGACAAACGCGGTGAACAGTGCCAAGTTAATCGAGAAGTACATGAGCCAGTATGAATGTCTACCCAAGCTGGTGTTGGTCCTCAAACAATTCCTTCTCCAGCGTGATCTGAACGAAGTGTTTACCGGTGGTATCAGCTCCTACAGGTAAATGGTCATCTTATTTGAGTCTTGTTGGATTTGTAACTACTGTCTGTTCTTGCAAAGTAGAACGGTTTCCAGTGGAATATCTTTGTCTCTTCAGATTGCTTATTTACCTGTTGCAGTTTGATCCTGATGACGGTGAGTTTCCTGCAGCTGCATCCCCGTTACGTCCAGACCGAGCAAGCCAATTTGGGGGTGTTGTTGATTGAGTTTTTTGAGTTGTACGGACGGCATTTTAATTACATGGAGACGGCCATTCGGGTGAAGAATGGTGGCACCTATATTACCAAAGACGAGATGGAGAAAAGTATGCCGCAAGGTTTCACCACGGCTTTCCTTAGCATTGAAGACCCACTCCAAGATGGTACGTCATCGACTCCCCATGTACACATAAATTTCACTAACGAGATTTCGGAAACTTAAATTTAATTTAAGTTTACAACAGTCTCCTTTATCCAGTTAAGTTTACTTTTGGGTGGTTCTTCCAGTTTTAATAGTATGACTTGCCTTTTTGACATGTGTGGTTTGATTTTGAATTTCCTGTATCATTTTGTGTAGGCGTACTTCTGTTGTTATTAGCAAAGCGCTTTATTATTGACATGCCGTCCGGAGTTCTGTTTTTATTGCAGCAGTAATTTGCCCTTTTAAAACACGATCCTCTTTTGTTGAACATGTGTCTGTACAATAATTGTTTCGCTTTCTGGTGCTCTAATTTTTTATCTTGCCGGATGTGGGTGTTTCCTTTGCTCTTAAGTAAACGTGGTGGTTTATTTGAATGAAACTCGTCAGCCGATATCCGTACATGATGTAGATTGTAGAGTAATTTGACGTAGCCAGACATTTGATTGTTATGCGCGAACAATTAGTAAAACACGTTTCTTATCGCGGGATAGGTAATGATATTGGACGGTCGTCGTACGGCGCGTTACAAGTCAAACATGCTTTCGATTATGCCTACACTCAGCTGTCTCATGCCGTATTTGATGATGGTGGATTTGTTGATGCCGACTCGGATGCGGAGATTCCGACCGCCAGGTATGTCCGTTTAGCGACAATTGCAGTGTCGTCACCGTGCCTTCTGATTTTCCATCTGGAATGTGGTTGTTGTTTTTATGTCTGTTTAATTCTGCTTTTGTACATAATAATATACGCCAGGTTGGTTACTGTATTGCAGAATTTATCCTATTCAAATTTTGTTTTAGCCTGGTTTGCTTCTGAATTTTAGTTTGTTTCTGAATTTGCGGGCCGTTGCGGAGTAATAATGCTTTAAAATGGTACAGAATACAAATAACTATTTTGTTTTTGTAGCATTCTGGGCCGTATCATTCGCATTGCGGACGATGTGGTGAGCTATCGGAACTGGGTGGAAAAGTGTTACGGTGACGGCAGCAAAGCGGGAGCTGGAAGCGTGGCCCATTCTTCCAGCGCTAAATCCTACGCCAGTATTGTCAGCATGAGCACACCGAAACATCACGACCATGGTCTGTCGTCCTGTGGCTCCTCCACCGCCTCGTCATCCTCCTTTGACAACCGTTCCGTGTCGTCACGGGATTCTGCCGGCTCTAGCATCGGTGATAGTGATACGGTAGGTCGGTTGCGATTCCAGAAAACTTGCTCACCATAAGAAAAACAACCAAAAAGGGAGAAAAGATTGCCAGATATTTTTTAAATAAGAAAATTGACATTGTGTAACTGTAGGAATCGGAATTGGCCATGACCTCCAGCGCCACCGTCCGCGTCCACCATTCCCCCACGCCCTCCAACCTTCCGGTCCACTTCCCGCACAACCAGGACCGTCCGGGTTCAGCTCCGCCCACCGGTCTCCACAATCGCCCCCCCGTGACCACCAAAGACGCCTCGGTGCAAAGCGATGTCATTCCCCCGGAAACCGACCCCGATGCCGACGACGACGCCCTGTCGGAAGCGAACTCCATCCGCAGTGCCCGCAGCCAGCCGGACGAGATCAAAGTCGTCTCCTACAACGACCCCATCGCCATTCCTCCGGCGCCCAGTACCCGTTCATTGGACGGCAGTGAACGGCTGAACTACAAGGGCGCCGTCCTGAACAATCATCATTCCGGTGGGAGACATCTGCAGCCACCGCCGGGTGTCGTCCGCGGAGGGGGACAGGCGCCACCGCGTGGCGGTGTTACCTACCGGCGCGGCGGTGCTCACCATCATTTCTATCAGAACGAGAACGAGGAGTGGAATTATCCGCGAAATGGCGGTAATAGGCTGCGGAAGACACGGGGAGGGATGGTGCAGGGCGGCGTACCCCGCGGGCGGTATAATGGCGCGTACAAATCGTAGCGGTGGCTGGTGTGTCGGTTGATTATCATCCTCCTTGATTCCCCCTTGCAACGAGATTCTGGACTGTGCGGAGGGTCTTTGTATATCTTGTTCAATTTGTCCCATGGCGCGGATAGTTTTTTCCAAAAAAATTGATTCAGTTTTTTTGGAGAATTATTTCGTTTGAAAATTTTTTTTGTAAAAATTCTTTTAAATATTTTCGCGGGGAAAATGCAAAAAGGTTCTCTCATTTTTTTTAAAAATGGATTTGATTCATTGTTCTCTTTACGGAGGGGAGTCCGAGTAGAGTTCGTCTGGCCGGGAAAAAAATCGTGGAAAAGCAGTATTCGAGTGGAGCAGAATGTTGGTTGTCTTTGAAGCGATGGCTTTAAATGTGTTGACATGTTGTTTTTGGATAAATTTGATGAAACGAGTCAGTTGTGATTGAATGTTCGGATACGATATTTGAGATATAGATGGGAGAAAGAGAGGATTTTTTGTATTTTGTCCGTGGAATATGCTGCGGTTATAGCTGTGTTTTGGGTCTTCTCATCCATTCCTCACTTTATCGCTCTTATTATTTTTTTGATTGATTAGGAATTTTTGAATTATACCTGTACACACAACATGCGCGCCGCTATCATCCTGCTGCGTTCTTTTCTAATTGAGCAACGTTATTCTTTGTTTGTTTGGCCTGGGAAATTTAACTACTGGTGCCAGTTTTTGTTTGTCTCCTTTCTCCAGCGTTTATTGTGCATGTATAATTATGATTATTATGGCCATTCTGCAACTGACTCGTCAGCGATGTGTCGGCTTGATGTGAATTCTTATGTCCAGTGTGTGTTTTTGTCGAGGCTGTTGAGCAGCGCACACCAAAAAAATATAAACTGCCCAGAAACTTCCCTCCTTTTCCGGTTACTGTGTTGTAGTAATAGCTCTAACTACCACGAGAACAGCTTGCTGAGTTTTATCGTATCAAAGTCCACGGAATCTGGAAGCAAAACGTTGCCAAAAAACAATTATAAAACTAATGCAAAATATGACGCGATCAAATACGTACTGAGAAACACCCTATGCATAAAATCATTTCATAAAAATTCATAAAAAAATCCTTCATATATTAAGAAAATTCTTAAAGTACTGTAGATCATCCGGTTTGTAACACCAGAACCGACGCGAACCCAGTAACAGGGAATAGTAAGTAGCCTGAATAATACTAACCTTGTCAGAAAGACAAACGAACACAGGCATGCAAGACTATTAACAGAAATAAAACTCGAATAACCAAAAAGAAAGCCAATCTGCATTGTGGTAGAATGAAAATATAGCTCGTGTTGTAATGGAATCCATGGCATTCGGTCCTGCGGCAAAAGTCGAAGCTATCAAGGCTTATTTGAATGGATAATCATCTGATGCTTCCATACTGCAATAAAACAGCCAAAATAGTTTTACGATGCGCAGAAAGTATAATTCGAATACTAGGAGTAGTACTTCTCGCAATTGGAATACAAATCTCAAGGGTGTGCGAACGATTACTGAAAATTCAAAGTGAAAATTGTAAGTATTTTCGAGTGCAAGAACCAGAAATTGCGAGAACGAAAACTCAAAAATTTGCTATAATAAATACGATCTGCTGATCCACTAACAATTCAAATTTGTAATAATGGAAATCCCTGTTCAAGCCGTCTAACTGTTTCACGTCGTCAGCACTGAGCTGGAAGTCCCAGATGTCAAAATTCTCTCGAATCCGCGCTGCGGTGGAGCTTTTGGGAATAACCACCCAGCCGCTGTCAACCAGGTACCGGAGCAGTATCTGCAAGGTTAAAATTGATATGTGTTTAAGATGCAAATAAGAGGAGGGCACCGGCAACTGCTGCCACAACTGGCAACGGTACAGACACAGGCTTTTCAGTCTTTACGTATGTTTCACGAAAAGTGGGGAACATATTTTGTACATACAGCGCGGTGCAGTACAATATATATATCCGTTTATTTGTACGCACGAAGATATTATTTTTCTTCTTATACCTGCGCAGCAGTCTTTTTGTAGGTGTCAGCCAGTTTCGTGACGATGGCTTCCTGCAGCAGCACCGGTTCCTTGGCGCTCTCCTCATCAGAACGGAATGGACGGGGTACACGCGGCGAACCCAGCGGGGCGTAGGCCACCAGCACCAGGCTGTTGCGTCGACAGTAGTCCATTAATGGTTTCTGCGTCAGGTACGCGTGCCCTTCCGCCTACAAATGTCGAGTTAAAAATTAGATCGAGTGACGTCGCAACTGATTGTGTTTAACAGTGCTAGCAGTGATCCGACTGTTTTCCCACCAAAGCAATTTCCGCTGCTAAAGATGCCACAATTACGTGCCGGTTATTCATAGACTCATTGTGTCGTCACGTTTTGTTGTCGATATCTTATCGAACCGCAATGACGATCAGTACCTGCAGAACAGCTGGACGGATGCGACAATGCTGGAGAATATTGTCAATCTGCGCCGGTGTGAAATTCGACAATCCGATCGCTTTCACCACGTTATCATCCACTGCTTTCTCCAGTTCCTGATGAAAACAAAAACAGAAATCTATAATTTCATGATAGTTTTCTGCAAAAGTAACATTGTACAAATATGAACTACAACACAGCAAAAAGAGATTTCCTGCCAGACTTTCAGCGATACAGTACCTTCCATAATGCAACGTGGTCGGTGTGCTTTTCCACCAACACTTTTCCCGTCGCGTCTTGTGGCATCGTGGTATTGTCATCTGCAAAAACATACCTAAATGGAATAACGTAAAATATAGTACGAATGCCTGAACCGATAGTCTGCAAATCGCTGGAGCGTTTAACTTAAAGAAAACTAAAACTGCAACCAACCATATCGTACAAAGACAGAAGCATGATAAAAATCATAAACACGAGCCACAAACAAGCAATGCATAGTACAAAAACAAATAGCACAAAATGCACAAAAAATAACAAGAAAGGCTTAGCTAAAAACCAAAACCACAAACACGAAGATGTTATATTTATGGTAATCAGACCGAAGCTGAATATTTTTGCTAGTTACAATTTATTTCAAAATTTTAACGACATGCTATGAAATTCGGTTCTGGTTCAAATTCGCGTTCATGGTTATGTGCAGTGTGCACTTTGCAGCGAGTTCCTGGTTCCAGATTGTGCTAAAGTGAAATTTTCAGATCACTTGTGTAAATTATTACGATTTACACAAGCACCATGCATAGTGTACCATGCCATTTCCTCAATCCTGAGTTATGAGAACTGAGAATATAAACGAGGAAATTCTACTCATTGAACGGTGATAGCAAAATTTCGAAGAATGACGAAAAATCGTAGGAAAATCATTCTGATATACGACAAGGATTTAGCCACGCACCCACATATTTCATCGCAACCGGAGCATGCAGCAGCATCAAATCGATGTATCCCAAATTGAGATTCTCCAGCGACTTCTGCACCCCGCGTCGCACTTTGTCGGGATGGTAAAAGTGCGACCACAACTGCAAATCACAACGGCATCGTTCCCCGACTACGGCACAGCAAGGGACAGCACACAGGGTCTACCTTCGTGCAGATGAACAGGTCCTCGCGCGACACCAGCCCCGACTGGATCTTGTTGCGGACGGCTTCTCCCACCTCCGTTTCATTCTGATACAGGTACGCCGTGTCAATGTGCCGATACCCGATGTCGATGGCCGTCTCCACGGCGGTGCGCACTTCGTTGGGTTTGGCCTAAATTAAATGGGCGAGAGAAAACTCACAAACAGAATGAAGGGCAGTACGACAGGAAGACGCAAGAGAAAAGCAAGCGATAAAATCATCATTAAAATCGAAAAGGTACGTTGTATGTTCCCAGACCGAGGATGGGCATGGAACGGCCGTTGTGCAGGCACACCACCGGAGCGAGTTTGGCCATTTTGGATGACAGGAATATGCCAGTCTGTGGGCGAAACGGTTAAACAGGAGTTACAGGACTTACAAGGAAACAAACTAGTTGACAAAGCAGCGTCGTGTAAGCTACGAGTACCGTAAGTTTTATCACATATGATATGATAATCTCATAATCACTTCTTTCCGTCCCATTCAAGATTCAAGAAAATAAACTGCTGTGCAGTTTCAAGTTTGCACTTTGCAGTGGTTGCGCCGCGGCGGCAAGGAATCTTCAAACGGATGAGTAAAATCGACTGTCGTACCGTGGCGGTGGGATATGTTGTCAGGTGGGCTTATGCTGTTTGCTGATCTATGGCTCGCAAATTTCGCTGATTACGAATTTTGAAATTTTCTGCCTTGCTGAATGCTGACCTCTGACTTGTGAGGCATAGTTGTCTCTGAAGCGATTCACTTGCGATAATCAATCATGATCTTTATAAATATGATGGTATTAATAAGTTAAACAAGAACCAGTGTTAATCTGAGTTTATGGATGCACTGGCGAGCGATCTCGCCGAGTTCTCCTGGGCGAAATCACTGAAATCGATGAACCGTCGCCAGTTCTGTTCCATTTCTGTCCCTGGCGCACGTCTTTCTCTCCGACTGCTGGTGTGAGGAATCTCCAGTATCCACGTCGGTGGTTCTCATACCTACACCGCGCCGTCGTAGTCTTCCGGCCAATCATGCTCGAGATCGAACCGTCACGGCCTTTTAACTGGACCAGTTGATTGGGTCATGGCTGGGTCATGACGGGTTTTCGCGCAGTTAAACTGCTACCGTTATTAATCCGTAACCGGCCGCCGTCGAAAGCTGTTGTCTCCGGTTTCGGTGAAGCCCTTCCTTCCGGGGGTGGATAGTGTGCAGCGGTCTTGCGGCGGCCGTCGCCGGAAAGCGGTGGAGCAACTTTACGTGACGGCCGTCATGCATTCGGCGGCAACTACGTTGGCGGGAAAGCGCGTTGAACGACCTGGGATTGGTGTTTGCCCCACCGGGCCGCTTCCTTTTCCCTAGTTTTTGTCCGTGCTCCACCGGCGCTACTGGCCGCCCCGGAGGCTCATCCGAAGCGGTAATATTTCCGCTAGTTTTCTGGTTTGGAGACTGGAGCTAGTAGACTGTGGAAGTCTGATGATCAATAATTCCCCTTCGCCCTCCGTAGCCACTCTCTCCATTCGTTCCGAAATTCGTCTCTCTTGGCGAAACAAACCGGCCAGCCCGATCCTGGAAGCGTATTACGAGGCCGACAATGGCGTCCTGCACTTCCGCTACTGTATACATATATAGCGCCCTATATACCAGCGGGTGCCGGCTAGCAATGAGACCGCCGCCCGAAATTGGTCCCATTCAGTCATTCACTCACGTCCTTACTCTGCAGGCCTGGTCCCTGGTCCACTGGCCATGGAATACAGATTTCAGAGCGTGTCGGACAAGAGGCGGATTTAATAGATTTGGAGGTCACTACAACCTTTTTTCCAGTAAACAGTTAATGTTCTACCATAAAGCGCCGATATGCTAGGAGTATGAGTAGGAGTGGTCCATCAAGCAAACTAACAACATGCAGCCACACAAGACATCGCAAAGCCTATAAAACAAGAGAACGGAAGTACGAGTTCTTCAAAGCACAACTTATAATTGCTTGCTGCACTATCCTGTGCCACGGGCCCACTATTTACTGTTTAAATAAGTTGTTAGAATAAGAGTGACTCTTAAGTAATTCTTGTGGCTGAATTTTCAATTATGATCTTATCGTGATACGCTTGTGTCGTTCAAACCTTTCAGAAGGACGTAATTCCCTTTAATAGTTTACAATCAAATCGAAATTACGGAAAATGTGTTTTACAGAACGCGGTGCGTGGTCACTACCAGCCGGGTAATAAATAAAGTGCCATCTTCCGAAAATGTTATGTTCAGTGCTCCGTTACAGAAAATTACTAATAACTGTCCAGTTCTCACGCTGCCAGTGGAAAGACGATAATTAATCTAATATCTAACTGCACGAACCAAATGGCAAGGTTTAGATCCGCAAAACAAACTGACAGTGATGCTAACAAACAGGCAGTCAGGCTAACAAACTGATAACAAACAGTGTTTGTTCCAGTATTTCTACACTTGGTATACTCGTACACGTTGTACGCCCAGACCATTGCCGTTGCTCTAGGTGTGCGAGAGGAATGAAAGAACCTCTCGCACACTAAGAGCAACGGCAATGCCCAGACAAATGTATCATCGTTTTGAGCAATGAATCGAGCCTTGCAAAGGTGATCCCTTCCGCGCCAGCCGTGCTGCTGACCATGACGGGAAGCAGAGTCCGTCTTGTTCATGCACCAACCCGCTTTGAATCAAGGATTGTAAGAGAAAAAAGAATTTTTTTACCGCGGGAAAGGGAAAAGGTCATTCCGCACCCTTCCCGGCCATGTCGTAGTGTCTTTCGCCTACCCGAGTAGGATGCCGGATACATATATATGGCGATGATACTCATAAGATCTGCTGCCGCAACCGGGGGATTTGCCGTATGATGATCGCCGGCATTCAGAGGATATGCGTGGAAACACTGTATTCAGCAGCGAGCTGCCCACTTCACCTTATAGTTCCTTATCAGTATCGGACGGTATACCGGACTAGCTAGATTCACAGGATCGGCAAAACCAGACAGCGCATGACTGTATGATTTTGCCTTATATTTATGTTTGACTTTTACAGTAGAAGGGGGAGTTTAGGCTATAAACCGAATTTACTAATCAGTATCAGTATCTTTGGTACTTGGTCATTGTTGCTTCTCGTAATCTTTTATTTCTGATGTGTTCTCTCACCAGACCAAAGTATATTGTCGCTCAAGCCGAGTCTAATCGTCACTAGAAGACTTGGACCGAAAAATATTTGTCTATGGGGCTTCAAGCGAAACCCAAACATTGAGAAACTTATAGATTCAATTACTACTCTAGTTATTTTACGCGTATCATTATTTGAAATTTATTTATTTGTTAATGAGTTTGCCAAGTCCTGTACAGTATTTTCAATAGATCAGTTCTCCTTGATTCTTTGGATTCCTGATACGTGTATGCATCACCGCAAGTGATATTCGGGATCACTTTCTGCCAATGACAAAATGGCGAAGTCGGAGCGCCGAACAGGGTTGGAAATTCAAGATAACCTTTGTGTCCGAAGACTCGGGGTCCGTGTTTGACTGCGCTTCGCGTTCTGAAATAGAACAGTGGTTTCCCTAGATTATCCCACATGCTTGTATTGTGCTCCAAGTATTAGTTCAAAAGTTGTTGATGTAAACTATAAACTGAGGCTATAGTTGTGCTTTCGTTGCTACCTTGCTAGCAAAGGTCACCGCAATATGCTTAAATCTGTCCTGTGCGTACCCAGAATTCGCAAAAAGTCCATCCAGAAGACATCACTCAAAGGACGGCCAAAGGTTGTGGGCGCCAGCGTCGGATCGGGCGTGGCCAGCAAACGCTGATATAGTCTGTTAACACTGCGACCAAAGCTGCTCTCCCTTAAGCATCCAACACGATAACCATTTTCCGGGGCGGGCTGCAATAATTTTGTTACATGAAATTTGCGGCGCGAGTTTTAATTATCATGCTAACAGCCTATAGTTAACGCTTTCTTTAATTTCTGTAGATCGACAGATTCCACGGGTCTCAGTAATGACGCGAATTAAGCCGATTGTATTCAAATTAAATGCGTGCAAACTGCAAAAGAGTGTCTTTGATACGTGGTAAACTGCCCAAATGATAAGTAATTAGTCATCAAAGTAATAATATGACGGTAGCATGATATAATATGTACTAATACTGATTAAAACGAGGTTTTTGGCAATGACTGAGATGCCGGAAAAGTTTCAAATATCTAATGGTAAACGATTTCAACATTAGTACAATTGCTGTATGGGTATATGGTATACATATTTTTAAATAGAACTATAATTAGTTCTACTCGTGGAATAGTTTTGAAAAGTCTTTCACATGCATCGTACCGGCGATTGCTATCAAAAGTTGCACTGGCGTAGGCCAGCGCTAAAACTGGCAGTGCGCTTGCGTACAATAATTAACCGATGTGTCTGCTGCGTGTACTTACGCCGCACCTTTAATTTCCATTTTGACTGTCTTAGATAATAATAGTTCTAGACTACCTGACGGTGAGATCAAATCTGCACGCATGCAGATTTGAGACTAGCAACCACTTTGCAAGAATCAATCATTTTACTGCTTATAATATATAATAAAAATTGTGCAAGGAAGGCAGATATTTAGTATTAGCCAGCCGTTGTGAACGCTGGTATTTTTGTTACATTCATTACTATATTGTATTTTGCAAGATTATATTCAGGATGAATTTTTAAAATTTACTTTATCCAACGAAGTATGCGTAAATTGAAAATACAGGTTATAATTCCAGAAAGATTTTGCACTGGGACTCTTATAAAACAATTTCCATGTATAAGTCTACGATTAATCCAAGTGCAAATTGGGCTTATAGCTTGTACAAGGTGGAAAGTTAACTGTTGTTTTACGATTGTACAATTGCCTCACTTGTCAGGTAAGTGGTTAGTGATGTTTTTGGTGTCTACTAGCTACTGGGATGACAACCAACAAGGAAACTAAATTTAAAATTAATTCAAAACCATGTGCAATTATGCACGCGCGGTAGTTATAAAATTTTTAATTTTGTTGATGACTTACAACTTGATCGGACAAAAATGACCCCGGTGTCCCGGCCACACGCTTGGCATGCTCCACCGGTGGTTGTGGATCCATGATCAGCCAGCTGGAATTTAGCGGCAGAACCGACAGAACCAGCCAAAGAAATACACATAAAAACCGCTCCAGCATTTCGAATTAATAACGTAACGTTTCACTTCCTACGAGTAGACCCGAGATAGCTCAAAAGTACTTTTAGATGCTTTATCTGCTTACCACTCCGATGCGCATTATATAGCCACTGAATGTACCCGGTGTCCCAGAAAAGCGTCACCTTTCCGGTGTGGGCACTCCAGTGTATTGAGCTCGTTAATGGGATCTTATATTATAGAATTATGCTTATAATTAAATCTGCGTGTATGTACCTAGCGTTTACCCTGAAAAGCAGTACGCAGTTGCGCCGGGAGATCACAGAAATTGATGATTAAGTAGCAACATCACGAAGAATTACCGATCGTCAATACAATTCGGAAAGTCACGTTATTTTCTATTCGGTATTGACGTCCATTACAGGATCAAGGTCACGGTCGCCATGTCATAAATGAACTAAATTGGTCCGGCTAATTTAAGGTAATATTTATATGATTTTTCTTCGTAATCAGAACAATCCCCTTTTATGACAACAACATATGCGTGTATTTAATAAAATTATGCGCAGTCAACAATTTTTTCCTCATTGCGTTCACAAATTCTCGAAAGCGATATGACCATGGCCGTAATACGTGAATGTATCCTGATGCAGCATGCTTGTAAGCTTTTATCACGACAGGAAGGACGCCCCGTTCCGCCACTCCCCGGAGCAGACCGTTGGTAAATGTCATAAAGAGGAGCCGGTGCTGGCGTTCATTTTCTCGTTAATCAGATTGACGACACCTTGTACGTCCTGCTTGCGTCCGATCAGCTGCACCATGATGAGCGCGTAGGATACCAAAACGGTTGAGATCTGCGAGAAATTCGGTGTCATAAAACCTTCGGTCGTTTCATAATCGAAATTGGTATGAATTTGTTTTCAATGATATAATAATCATATATCCGGAACGGTTCGGATATATACGAATATAACGTATATAGCTTATGAATACGAATATAGCTTATGAACTAGTTGCAGTGCATCTGTGGAATCATGTTATTTTCTCGCGATACAGTTATTGGTTACATAACTTACATCGGTGGAAACTGGAAAATAAGGTAATAGATTCCCTCATGATGACTATTCCGTTTTCGTTTCGATATAAAGCTAAGTAATACCACATTAAAGGTCATAAGTTTCTGTTTTCCATATTAATACGGTTCGTTGTATTTTATAAAGTCCTTTAATAATTTCGAGATGCTTTATTCATACCTGTATGAACTATGGAGTACGAGTACGTACTTATTCGAAAGCGCAAGCACTTAAATTGTTATTGATCTACAGAGTATGGTGAAACGAAACTGTATAACTCATGCAGTAAACCGTAAAAATACCATAAAAATTACAAATATTATATCTTTGTAGCAGAAAACGTGGAAACCATTTCAGTTAATGTATGGCTTTGTGTGCAAGCAAAAACACATTTCTGGGGATTTTGTAGGATATGCTGGATTAATTTTTGAAAGGTTAATCTGATGCTCGTGCCGATAGAAAATAACCCCGGTATAACGGCCCAGTGCCGCGCTCTCGTCTGTATAAAATGCATTACCTGTAGTATCACTATTTCTTTCTATAAAACAATAATTCTTGGATTCTACGCAAACTGCCCGTAGAGTAGAGCGCGGCGATGGATAGTTTCGAACTTTCGATTAGGAACATAAGTCGACAGCACACTGAAAGCCGAAGGAATATAAATAGCGGAAAATAAAGCACTCGCAATTTGCGGGTTAAAGTAGTACAATATTACAGATACGAATTTATTGAATATACGGTACTTAATATTACCGTTAGCACAAGATTTCTGGTTATGAAGAAAAACTTCCATCCCGTAAAGGCTTCCGGTCGGTACGAGATCTTGGATACTATCAAATTCAGATGTGTCATCGTTTTGCTTGTTATCTGAAGAAATAAAAATCATAGTCACTACACCATAATATAATATATTGACCATTGGACTGTTTATATTGTACTGATTCACTAATTCGGTGAAGCCAAACACATACGATGCTTTCCAAAATTATAATTAGAGAAGCACGTGTTCGAAGCCGTTTTCTTATTTTGTCTCATGTGGAACTAGAAGAATGCATTCGATGAATAAATTGTTCCACGTGCGTATTGATAATGAGCTATGATTGTAGTGGTTTAAAATTTGTTTAATTTTAAAATTTATTTATGACGTAAGATGACCTATGACCTTTTATTATGACCTTTAGACTAAATTAGGGATGAATTTATTTTGTTAAACAGCGCTTCTGACACCAGTTTATAATGTACAGATCGCGTTGTCCTGACGTTCTGATTAACCCCGGCCCTAACGTCGGTCATTCGCGCAATCTTCGCGGCAGCCAATGTATACTTCCATCTTAATTATGGGCGGGTGTTTCATATCGAGGTCACGGTAATGCACGCACGTGTCACAAGTGTCGGTAACTTGTAACTTCATCGGTAGAGCAACTGTTGGCGCATGAACATAATTAGCACGTTTAATTTTGGCATTTCGCGTATGTGCGCAGTGCCATGAAATGCAGCATGTCACTTAAATAGTTTTTCCGTTTAACGTTGTAATTAATGTAGAACAAATGTAACTGATCACACAACTGGCACGAAAAGAAAACGCCGGACAACAGTTATTTTGGTGGGAATTCTCCTCTTGGATGCTGCGTTTCGGCGGATGACTTGGCGGTCGCCGAGTTCTTCGATTAAACGGTATCCAAAAATTGTATACCAATGCAAAATCGTAAGAAATGATGTTACTTTTAAATACGTACATGAGCAAACCAAGAAAGCTATAGCCGTATTAGATTTTACATTCAACCGCACGAGAAAATGCGGGCGTTGGCTGTGTGATCGAAATTGTTTTTAATTAATTTGTTTTGTTTTTCTAACGATCATATTCTATAATCAGTATGTAGAGTAAATTCGGTAATTTTGCTCTAATGGTAAGGTCCTGTCATACTAAAATATAGTGTCTGTTGAATTAATTATAGTTACTGCTGGTACTCCACGATATGATTTTTTACCTAGGAATTAGGTAGAAAAACTATATACGGCAAGAAACCAGCCAGTCAAGTGAGTAACGAGTAACGGAGTAAGTATTGATGCGGATTAGCACAGCAATCCAGCATAGTAATACGACCTCTGTTTAGGAAAGTGTAAGTATTACGGAAGCAAAGGTAGATCAAAATTGATATCTATATTCTCTGTTATCCGATCGTTTGTTACGTACAAGTACTACTGTTTGCTGATGCTATTTAATTCGATATTATGCGTTATTGTTGTAGTCCGAACTATACAAATACCAGAAACATTATCTCTCTATTTGGAAAACTACTGGTTGGCTACATGCTTTTGCATCAAAGATAATTCATCGAACGGGTTGCGACGTACAGAGTACCTTTGTAGATGTTATTAAAGTTATTCAAATACTGTAGTGCGGTGCTCCGGAAGTCGACTCGACTCCCGTTATACGAAACCATCTTGGGATGGATCGAAGACCGTACATAATTAAAAGTTCAAAGGTACGGTGGTACGACTCTAGTTCGCACTGCACAGTGATTTAGGGTTAGGAACATTTCTTCAATAAGATAATTTGCAAAACTGCAAAGTTACTTTCGAAACCAGGAAACAATATGTACGTGTCGTGAAGTCTAGAAGTTTACAACAGGAACAGAAATACTGTAACAGTCTCCACAAAAAACAATGGCTAATCAGGTAACGATCGACAATATTTAATAATTATTTCATAATTATAAATGTTAAAGAAAAGCTGGGAACGATCCGGAAGCTGGGATTAAAGGTGTAACGATTCTGGTCAATGAAACTCATAAAAGGTGGCCCGCGCGGACCCCCTTGCCAAGCAGTATCGAACTAAACTTTAAATTTCGGATATGTCGTAAATGTAATATACTCAGCCGAAATGTTTAAGGGATTTGGCCCGGTACATAGTGCCAAATTCGGGTACATACACGGGAACTTTCGCTGTCGCGCATTTTTAAAAATCGTTTTAAAATTTAAAAAATGGTAGGAAGCTGGTTCGGTACCAAAACGATCTTCATAGTAATGTGCATTTTCGTGCAAAATTTTAAGAGCATCGGTTCATAATGAGACTTTTGGTACACCTCCGCGCGTTTAAACTTTTTGAATTTCAGTTCACTAATAACTCCCGAACCGGATGTTGCGCGCACAAACGGTTTTTTCGCCTATGTATACGAATCTTTTGGCTACAAAATGTCATAAAGCAATGCAAAAAAGTGTTTAGGAGTGCGCAACAGCGAAAGTTCCCGTGTATGTACCCGAATTTGGCACTATGTACCGGACCAAATCCCTTAAGTATACAAATGCAAAACCAGAGCTTTCTTTTGAAAACTGGAGGAAGCGGTAGCCACGGCGGAAGCGGTAGCCCAGGACCATTGCCCGGAAACATTAATACAATGTAAACACTGAAGCGTATGTGTTCAGAGTGCTGTGTGTCCAGGATTGCCGAACATACAGGCACAGGCAGTCTTTTCACGGCTCAATATGCTCGACCCTTGATGTTCCTGACGAGGAACATCTTTTCCATAGTCCCGTCACGGTTTCCTAATTAAATAGTTTACTAAAGACGTTTGTCTGAAGTGCTGTTCAGGGACCATTGGAATTGTTATGCGATGCCTTGAGGCGTGCTATTTCCCGGCTGGGATTTATAAGCCCGGTATATATATAACCCAAATGTGCCAATAATTAAGTCCGCTTCAGGAGCGACAGGAAGTTTACATGCTGTATCTGTGTCGATCGATTTACATCAGTTTGTCGGCAGTTGCGCTTAGCCACCGATATCCACTGGATTAAGCTGAACTTGACCCTTAACGACCTCTCCATATTGCGCTCCTGCCGTTTTTTGGCTGACGCGCACATAAGGGAGACAAATAATTTCGCGCCACGCATGATTTTCAGTAAGTTTGCTTGTGCTGACAGTATTTCAGTCACGAATTCCATTACACATATGTCGTACATGGACAGCAACGGTTTTGTAATTTAAATTCCACTGATGCACACAGTGACACATGCAAATCATGGTTTACAACGGCCGGGTGACGGCAGTGTACAACATGGGTTAACGAATGAATGAAAACGGAATGCCTGATTCTTTTTCTATACATCCACTACACCTAGAGGCTCAAATGAATGGATTTGGCGCTCTCCTTTCACATGGCTTTGCAACAGTATTCTTGCAAACATAGTCAAACAATATAAATACGTTGGAGGTCAGAAAAAACAACAGTACTTATTCAGCTAAATGCCGTGTACAGCGTCCCGTGGGAGTGCAATGCTCCGTTCCCGCGGGACAAAGTAGTTCATTTGGGCGATATTCGCAGTACATTAACCATTTTCCAGCGATCAGGAGGAACTGCTGTTCCTGTGCTGTCAACTGGTGCAGAAAGCAATCGACTGCCGAGTGGCGATTACAGATCAAATCAGAAAAATGTCTCCGCAAATGGAACGATTTAGGTAATTGTGCTTTTGGCTCGGGAGAATGACCTTGTATACGTGCCCTTTTACATTTATGCCATGTTTTATCGCAGTGCGTGCTACACGCGTTATCTCATCGGTTTGACTTAATAATGTACCAATCAAAAAGCAAAACCTTGTCACAAAAAAAGCGCGAGTAAATTATGTTTATGATCAAATGCAGTTTACCGTTACCATAATACGGATAACAAGCCGACGCCTTGACCGTAATAAAGTAAATCATTATGACTGACATTTACGCGCCGGGAACACGTCAGTACAGTAAAACGTCGCACGATCCCATGGCCAGGCAGTATCTGTTTCTGCCGGACTGTTTCCGTTCTGAGATCTAGAAGGGATGATCGCGCCTGCGTATTATATATTAAACGGAAACCATATTAAGTGGAGTGTCTGAGCTAATAAAGAACCGGGCAACAAAAACGCAGCCGTTAATGTGCATCGACTGCGCCGACATTCCAACATTTTTGAACATCACCATGCAACTGCGCTTGGATAGTTTAACGGCAACCCGACCGACATTTAATCGACAAACAGCCCGGCGGTAAAAATAAATCAATTGATGTACAGATCTGACGAAGAGAGGTGATGCTCCGCGATGGTATGCGCAGAGGCTAATTTGTTTCGGGGTGAAATGTGGACACAAGTGTTATGACACAAATGCGACAACGTCATCACTGGGACGCAGTGGCCACTATCCCCGCTCTTAATTGCGCATTTAGCATGCCGGCTATTTACGGAATGGTTTAATCGATTTCACCGTGACCTGTGCAGTAAACCATAAACCTACCTCACTTTCTTCGGCATTATTCAAAAGCGGCTCCATTGCGCTCATTACCAAGCGATTTGTCGTGGCTACCTGCCAGAAAATCAGACCAATCATCAATAATTAGAAAATGAGAAAGTTAGAACAACTTTTGAAGTTGGATTATATTGTGGTTGTTGTCTGTATTTCACATGTCTATCGTTAATTTTTTGTTCTGTGTATAATCGCATTTTGTTGCATAAGCAAACCGTGATGTACGTCTAGAGGGGAAAATTAAATTGCCATTTTGCACAATATTTGGATTATACGAGTACAAACCAAATTTATATACTTCTATACGAGTATATCACAGGATTCCTGGGTCACAGGTTTCTTCAGATCCTCGCATGGTTCACCTCAAGTTATTTTCAGCCGTACCGCATTAAAAATACAGTACTCGTATAAATATTGACAAGCTAACCAACCTCTTCATGGAAGAGAATGCACGGAACGATGTACCCCGCCGGATACCATACCGCATGAATGAACAATCCAAAGGTCGTGTAAATCTGCTCTAGTGGTCTTCCCGCCCCGTAGATCACAATGGACCCCACATAGCCCACCGCACACGCAATATCCCCCACCAACGCCACGAACAACGTTACCGAGAACACATCATCCGTCCGCTCGGCCAACTTCCGCAGCCGCTCCCAGTCTCCTTCAAATTTAGTCAACAAATACACATGTTTATCGCGTATCAGCCAACCATTCATCAATCGCCACGCTGCAAACAATCCCAGCACGATGCTGGCCAAACAGATCATGGCCAGGTTCATGAGAATATTCACCGGGGAGGCCAGCAGATACCAGGATAGCAAGAGATTCCACAAGGGAATTTTCTGATTGAATAATCCCACCTCCACCTGCTGGGCTAATGTACTGGTGAAGTCCGTCTCCCACATGGCGAAATCCATCACCTCCCAGGCAATGACGAAGCTGAAAAGGATAATGGCCATGGCAATGATAATGCGGCACAAAAGAGTGCGTGCATCATGACTGCACTGTTTCAGCTCCACCGCCACGTCGCCGGCGATCTCCATGCACTCTTTACTGCGGTAGCGGAAAAAGACCAGCAGAATCGTGCTGCGCAAAATCATAATCCCGTAGCGGCTGTTGAAGATGGCGTTCTTCAGGGAGTTGATGGACTGATCCCGTCCGACACTGGCGTACCCGAACAGGATCTCCAGGACGTAGTAGCCGGCATGGATGAACACGAGGAGGAAGTACAAGTTCGCCAGCAGGGTGCAACTGAGTTGACCTTTGGATTGGGATTGCCGGCAGGAGAAAGTGTTGGTGCAGCGGTCAGGGAGGATGATGCGGGTCCGTGCCAGGACATTGGTCAGCTTGGTGACAATGCAATCGTTCTTGCGGGATGATGGGGAAAATGCAGGTAACGGCAGCAGTGCAGTGGCCGGCGTGGCCTTACTCATGATGTATTAGACACTGGATGGCACAAAATGCAAATGTGAAAGCACTCGGGTTTGCGGGGAGAGAAATTCCTGCAACTCCTGTGCTCTTATCGCTGCCGCTTGAATGGACAAGTGTATGTGTGCTTATGAACCAGGGATCAGGGACCTTATTTGCATGGAGTATTCATCGTTAAAAGTGCAGCAGCTGCTAGGAAATGTAAATGAACTCGGCAAAAGGCTAAATGGCCGCGCATGATATCATATAGGAATTCCACCAGGGAACATGACGTCGGATGCATAAATCAACGGTGGGGGCGGCGCTGATGCCTGGCGTAGCTGGCAGCCAATCAGTGCCGATAGAGTTGTCAAAGTGTGCGTGAAACGTGATTCAAGGGACGTGTGAAGTCGTACGCACGGGTGTGTTTCGATTGTGTACTAGAATCAGCTTTGGTATTCCAGAAGAAATTTCCCATGCGGCTTACTGATAAAAAAAGTTTTAACGTAACAATTGGTGTAAAGTTAGTAGTGACTGCTTTTATAACATGTACAGCGACGAGCGCCGACGACTATCTCCTCGAATGAAATTCGCACTTGACGGTGCACGGCGCTACATTTTCTTTTAACAAAAGGATCAACAGAACGTGATGCAAGGGATACAATGTTCCATTTTTCAATATTTTTTAAGGATGTTATTGCTTAAATGTATTGTACACTAATAATTATTAGTGTACTGTAATAATGGCAGATTATAATCTGCCATTATTCTGTTCAGATGGCAGATTATAATCTGCCATCTGAATAGGTGAAACGAAGCGAAGATTACATGTTTGCTGCAACAGTTGTCAGCAAAATTCTGGCTATCGAACAAACTGCAGAGTAACTCTTTTCCTGAGCTTTCTTCTATGATGATTAATTTTGAAAATGCGAAAAGAATGGGGTTTACAGAGTATCACTGCACTGTGGGCCTGTGGCGCATGTGTTATTTGCTGTACTTCCTTGTAGCAACCTCGCAAATATTTTACAATACTGCGCCTGCGCGACTACGAGTACGATCATTGCTTACGGAAGTCTTACAATTATAAAAAGTGGATCGACTTCATTGCTAATAATCAGTACATCGCATTGAATCCATGCATGTGCTTCCTTGTTTGTGTCTACACATGACATCCATTTACAAGGTTTTAAACACAAGGAACGCTAGATCTGCTAACAGAATGAAGTTTTACACGCTGTGTACATTGTACAATACAGCGTAAACCGTGTACTCAGTGGTATGCATCAGTTACCGCACCATGCAATATGCATATTAATGAAAATACTCGTACTTACTACACGACGTATATTTCACCAAGTATTTAATACTACATTTATTTATATATTAAAGTTTGCATGATGTACGGTGCATACATACGAGTAGTCGTACTGCATAAGGCTTGGATCATTTAGTACGAGTATCCGAATAATCCGAGCACCGGCTTTATGACTGGTGTGCATTGATGAGTGCAGTTTCACATGACCACACAGCTTACCCATTAATCATTATTACTATTACGTACTTTGTAGTACTAAAATGTTTGTAAACCATATGATTAAAGTCTATTGATAATTTTGTCCATAGAAATTAAGTCTGGTGCTTGAGACTGACGCTTTCTTAGCTACATAATTTATAAATAACTCGTGTGGAGTGTGAATAAAATCGTGGCTGCGAATTTTCATCGAGCCTGTGCGAATCAGTGAATCTGATTTTGCAGCCAATTCGATTTTCCTTAATTCTGCATTTGCTGCGGTTTTTACGTTATTTTTACGTTTTTACGCTGCGGTTTTTATTTTTTTACGTTGCACATCACAACTGAGACAGTCGACAAGTTTCTGGCCCGCCAATATTGATTCTTGTTTTTGTTGGAATATGGATGTCTGTAACTGATTTGACATTTTTCTCTGATCATTCTGAAAGCTTATACGGAAGCGAAACGATTTATACGATCAGTCTTTGATAATAATCACTTCTTTGATTGGTAGGTTCTTCGCGGCTCTGTACAATGCCGGATTTGCCTCGAGCTGGTCACTTACGACTGCCATGTGTCTTCCTGCTGTGGAAATGTTTTTCACGAAGATTGTGCGCAGAAAGTTCGGAAAATGGCAAAACGCCAACAACAGCCATCGTTATGTCCAATCTGTCGAACGTAAGTGCCCAAAGTGTGCTACTGGAAATCCGCTACATATTAAGCACAATAGTGCCATAGTATTGCTCTAACATTGCAATCATTCGTACAAAATAGAGAATTTACATCAGCTAAACTGGAAATGTCGAAATGAAAGTTAAAGTATAATACCCTCACTAAATTATTTTCTTTAACTTACACAAAACCACAGCGAAGAAAGATAAATAAGCAAAAGCGATGTAAAAGTAGCTCATTTCCGTAGCAGATGTTGGCATCGACTTGCAGCCTTGTTACTTTTGGAGTATTTAAGCAAAACTGCAATGGTCTACATATAGATATATCGTACAAATGCCTACTACATATACTCGGTACCAAACATGGTATGTAACCGTATGTGTACCACTTTACCCCTAGAAACTTAGTTCAACCTAAAATGCAAGCCTACGAGACAACTATAGAAGTCGTGCAATGATAATAATACACAAAAAGTATGAAATCGTTACTGTAATTGTACATATTACCGATCGGTGTACTGAGCCCATTGCGCTGCGGTTGTTGTAATGCATGGTGCACAGAGGTGTAACATCACACAGTAGCGTGTGTAATTTATAAGTGTAAAATTGTAAGGTAAACAGTGGCTGAACTTTAAAGGTC